AGCAGCATTCCGTAGCTGCTGCAAATAACCAGGAAAGGCATTATTGACATCATCGATAACTTCACTGTTCCAAACTTTCAGCAATGAATGTCCAGCAGCTGCAACAGTGGAAAAGACTTGAAAAAAAAAAAGAAACTCCCTCCGTAGAATAGGATGTTTCTGAAATTTTAATTTACGAATAACTCATTTGGTATGTAGCAGAGACGAAAGCTAAAAAGACAAACCCCCAAGTATTTGTTTGGAAATTCAATATTATGGCCGCAACACCACATAACAATGGAATGAAATAACCGGATTCGTTCGGACTTCTATTGTATTTCACTTCCCTTTCCACTAGTAAAGTAAAACCCTCATTGTTATAATGTAATAACAAATAGGCAACGTATAGCTATTATCAAATATTTCTGATATTTTTTATTAAACCGAACATAACTAATGACAACAAAAATAAACGAAATAGGTAACTGCTTTCACAAAAATTCGATTCTTGTACAAGGCTTATCGATATCCACTGCACGTTATGGCTGCACATTTATGAATTGATTCTTCTACATAATAAATACGAAATATTGAAATACTGTGAAATGTTAAAATACGAGATATAAAAATAAGGAGTATGAAATATAAAAATAAGAAATACGAAATATTTAAATAAAAAATATGAAATAATAAAATAATATGAAATCAAATAATAAAATATGGGATACGAAACATTAAAATAGCAAATACGAAATATGAAAATAAAAATACAAAATATTAAATTATCTTCACATCGAAAAAGACCAGAAATATAACACAACAACGCTTCAACTTTACGTAAATTTAACTCCAAATTTCAAAGAGATAAAAATCAGAAAGTGAACTGATTTTCACCAGTCATGCTAAAATTAATAAATTATCAAGCTCATATTAATATGCTTAATAAAACATATGAGCCAGATACTATCTTCGAAAAGGAAACCTACTGAAAAGGAAACCTGTAGCTTCCATACTAAGCAGATGTGCAATTAATATACTGCATTATAGTCAACGGCTAGAACTATAAAACTTGTTATCATCCATGCCATAAGAAATCTATATCTCAGCGTGAAAACCACTTCAAGCCACAGGTCTACGCGCATCTACCCACAATTTATGTTTCTGGATGATCATATCAGTGACAATGTTCACATCTTGACACAGTTCAGCAATATGTTGATCCCATTCTGCTAAAGTTTCCTTTGTCGGCACCGCATCTTCATCCGTAGCATCTACAATAAGACACTTTATCCAGACAAAAAAGCGATAATCCATCCCATCAATTCAACTTATAAAATTTCATTACATTTCAGAACGAAAGAAGACATATCTAAGTCAATCAAACAATGCAAACCATTGAAGGAGATTGTGTTACAGAGCAAAGTTTAAAAATTAAAATATTAGGGAAAGGACAAACCAATTATAGATAGCCAATTAAAAACAATAAAGTGAAATCAGAAAATATACTAACGAGTAAAGTGTACAATTCCATCGACCTGATCGATGGTGCCTCCAACACGTCCATCAGCGATAATTTGCCATGCCATTTTCTCTGCCTTCAATGAATGAGTGGAATTTACAAAAATATTTAAATAAAAACAAAAGTAAGATAAAGCAAAGCTTTTCCAACATTTGTTAACAAGAAACGAAATAAAGCAGGTATAACTGAAACCTGAAAAAAGCAACGAGCAACGTCATGTATATCTAATAAGTTTGCAAAACTTGAAACTACGGATGAAAATAAAAACACGCTTCACTTTCTCTTTTTTACTGATATTCATATCAGTAAAAAAAGGGAAAGTGAAGCAAAGATATGTATGTGATCTGTGAGCATAAAATATAACCTGTGCACAACCAATGTTGAGAAGTTTAGCAAGCTGTTCAAATGTAATATTGGTGAAAATTTTGCTGACTGCAGTAAAATTGTGCTCGATGACGGCTCGCTGAAGAAGACTCCAACCGCCATGAGTAACTCGCTGATGCGAGGATAACGATTTTTCAAATTCCATTACCTGAAAACGAACAAGACAAATTAAAAGTTATTGATTAATGTCAGGTCTAATTTTGAGTTCTAATTTACAAACAAACTCGACGACTTTATGGACTTTATATACTCATTTCTGTAAATATCAGAAACCTTTCAAGTTTTTTTCCTAGGTTCTGAAAACAAATATGGAAAACAAAAGTGAAAGAGGACTTAAATTGAAAAAGTATCATAGAAACCTCATCATTTCGAATCAGTCTTTCGAAATACATTTTTTGCAGTATACCATATGCCGCTAAGTTAGAACAGCGTTCATCTTTATACAGTGTTGTTAGCATACGAGATCGTTGAGCACCTGCAGAACGATAGGGTAACACAACAACGGAACGTAAATGTCTCACCACCAACAAACCATTTTCGACCAGAACTACACAATTTCTAGATTAAGCATACAAAACATCCACCATGATCGCCTCTTAAGAACTAATGAAGATGTAGTCCACTACATGTATTCTAACTTCTAGCTTTACAAACTTTTTTAACGTTTTATCTGTCACTTCCTTAATTTAAAACTCTAGATAGTGAAGGCGATAATGCTGAACATGTTCTGGTGATTAACAAGTTTACGAGTTAATCCAATGATCTTCGAGTTTATAATTACGCCCTCATCATACTGAAGCTCAAAATATTGTTGCATGACACCTGGTGAAGCCAAAACAGTGCAAGAAATGGCATTCGTAAGTGCTTGCGCTTTCTCGGAAGTAGTGAGCATATTTTGGAACAAAGAGAGATCATAGTATCGCTGTGCAGCTTCAATGAATTTTTTCCTGTGATCCAACACTCTCGCGTACAGAGACTAAAAAATCGTCCATCAGATGTCTTTAACTTTTTAATTTTAAATAAGAACTTTCAGCATAGAATTTGAAAAATTTTTGAAATAGATATATTTCAATCTAAATTATTTTTTAATATATACAATTTTTTTCGGGTTTCTGCTTTAAATAATAATTTCATACCACTCTAAATGATTCTTTTCAAAATAAGAAAAAAATAGCATCTATTTCTTCATTTCTTTCTTACTTTAAATATAACAATTAGCTCGTTATCTTTCGAAACATCATTAAACAACATTGAAGCGCGATTAACAAAACTCTCGGCTTCCTCTGGATTTTTATAGTCCAACGCTAACTGTGCTATCCTCAAGTACGTACGCATTTTCAATTCTGGAGAATATGTCCTGAAATTCGTCGTTTGAGATTAAAAAATGAGAATTGCCAAATCATACATCCTACAACTTCAACAGGATAAAAATAAGATTTCAAAAATACGACAACCCAATTATTCCACGAATAAAATTCAGAAAAAGTTGACTGGTCTAATGAGTAGTTCTAATGCAGTCTAAGTTTTCAACATTTCACTATTCTGTCATCATTTCATACATTTAAGCATATTTCTTAGAAAATGATTTTTGCTCAAATTTTCTATTAATATGAAAAAGTTTCGCAATATATACATTACTATTCCAAATTTCTACCTTTGCCCTGTCTCCAAAGGTATAGCCATGAGTGTTTTCGCTGCTTCCCCACTATCACCATCTTCTTCATACAAGTCAGCTAGTCGAAAACGTAACTGTGTTACCTAAAATACTATTATAAATTTTTTTTGAATTTGACCAATAATAATAGTCTATCTAGTGAATCATCTACTGCAGTAATAAGAAAGTACAGTAGAACATATAAAAAATAGCTGAAACACATGTGAAATATAAATTTAGAAATGGCACATGTGAAGCAAAAAATAATGTCCAATAAATCATATAGTCGATATTACTTGTTCTTCGTACGAAATTAAACGTGACTGCACAATATTCAGTAAGGCCTTAGCCACTTCTTTGACAAGACTTGGCTTCAAATCATCCAGTGCCGCGACTATGTCAGTAACGAACTGTCTGGATACTACCATTGAGACAGTCTCTTTATTAACAACTATAATATATTTGACTGTAACTCTTCCGATAGGACAGCAAGTAATCAATGACAATTAAGGAAACCAATTTCTTATCCAATTTTTTATCTTGAAATACACCAAAGATTTCTTAAACTACGATATGGATAAGTATATCAACGTAAACCCAGTATTATCTAGTATGGAATTTCCATAGCTTCTGTATGAAAATTGTCTTCCATAACTGTTCAAGTACCATAAATCACTACCAATCACTACTACTGCCTCAAAATTAACAGATCTATTGTAAAATGACGCTTACTTTAATATTACTACAAAAAAAGTAGTACAAATAAAACTTGCCAGCTTCCGCTATCCGACTAACATTACTACTTATATCATTCTCGCTCCCGCCAGAACTCAGTATGGACTGCAGTAATGTTTTCAATCTAAAATATAACTTGAGTACAAAACGCAAAACACACTTCTGACATTTCTAACTGAAATTAGTTCCATTTTAATACGGAACAAATTATTGAAGAAACTTAACCTTACTCTGAGATATAGAATACTTCCCACTTCAAACAAAAAACAGAAAAAAAGGAAGAGAGAAAAATACCTCGCGCTTTGACTTTTGTGATCCGATTCATCAATAAATATATTACCGACAGCAGTTGCAATTTCCTCCGCCATTTGGCAGTGTATGATAAAGCGGAACTGAAAAAACAAATATAAATATTAATACACTAATCAGATGAGCATGGCATAAAATACTCATTCGAAATCTTATCCATTAAATTATCTGTTGTGGATATCTAACATTGCAAGTTGGAAAAGGACTTAAAGGAGACGAGAAAAAAACGAAATCTACCGTATAGCATTACGACACAGATAAGCAGAAATCCAATATCAAAATAACATCACTAGCATGTCAATCACCAACAATAAAAGACCCCAAAATTCCTGAGGTATTCGTGAACCTAGCCGACTCGATAACAATAAAGCGGCCAACCATAAAATACCCTCCGCCGGATATCATTACAGCATTGGAGTGATGAAGATTCGCTTTAGGGATTCTAGAGTGGGGTTGGGATTGCATTGCGGATTAATTTGTATCGAGAGGAAATCCGGTAATATATGAATTGACTTTAGGAAGTGTCTTTCTTGATTTTTGCTCGTCATTTTTCAGTTCTCAATTTTGCTTGAATAAAGATAATAACTTCCAGGTTTTAGTTTCTGATCACTGATCACACTTACCTTTTCAATACAAAGGGTGTGGAAGCCTTTTCTTCTTAATCAGCGATGAAATTTTGTTCCAGTGTTGATAATATTATCACTCTACTGTGTTAGCTACAAGCACGGAGTTGTCATAACGACTTAAGTAATTAAAAGTAAGCTGAAGTAATTTACATTTAGGCAAAATGAAACACTCCTAGGGTTTATGTTTTGGAATCCATTAGTTAAAAAAAAGCTTATTAAATTTGCAAAAGATTGAAGCGCAGAAGATTGTATATAGTAGTGCTTTCTAATACGTCCAGAAAAAGGATTTATTCATTGGATAGGTGATTAACATTTTAAATTATAATAATAGTGAGTTTAGTGTTATGCCCACTACTGATGAAGTTCGTGATGCATCGGCGTCCGGTAAATTATGTATTATATCCAAAGGTATCAAGAAGACTGCATGGTTTCAGCCCACTCACTCCACTGTTGTATGCTGAGTCCTGCTATTTTACAAAAATCCTGCAATATACCATTGAAGGTTATTTTTCTTCAACTAAATGAGCTTTATTTTGGTTAAGATAAAAACAAGTATAGATAGGGATGGTTAACTAACTTCGTTGAATTTTGTTCAAAATTTTCCTGGGTCAAAAGTTGGAAAACATTTTCGGAGCCTTTGATTGCTTCTCTAAAATTTCCTTTATAATTTTCTGGTTTTTGCTGTTCATAGCTCAAGATCAGTTGCCATCTTTGAAAAGAGAAAAATTACGCGAAAAATACTGTATAATTAAAATAATGTTGAGTGTTTTAAACTTATTAGTTACTGTTCATAAGTTTCAAATAAGTATCCAAAGTTGAAGTGTTTTAAGGCATACACTCATTGGAAATACCATGGGTTGGCACATTTATGCTCTCTGGCGTGTTATTCCGTTTTGTCAGCTTGCCACTGCATGTGTATGCAGAGCGGCTGCTCGCCGAAAGATACCGTGTTGTCAACATTTTGAATCATGAGCTCATTAAAGTTTGTGAATTTTTCGGATTTAAAGTGTTTAGTTACAGTCTTGTACCTGTTTTTGATTGAGTAGACAAACGAATAATGAGGTCAATTTAACAACAAAGAAGTTAAGCATGATATTACTTAAGAAAATTGTTTAATGATTATAATTTTCGAATATTTTACAGCAAATGCTTTGTTCCAGAAGTTCAGCAAGCATTATGACTTGGATGTTGTTTCAAGTGGGAATGGCCCTTTCTTGCAGCTTAATACTACTGATAAGTCCATACTGCAGAAGACCAATAAATTGGTGCATCTTTATTCTTGGAAACTGAAATTCGTGAAAATCTTTTCTGGAATTAAAATTTTTGACAGTTTTAATTTCAGGTTTTCCAGGTGCTCAATAAAACGAGTTCATTTTTTCAGTCTAAAGAAATCATATTGGACGTATGCTGGAAACATCGCTTACAGCTTTCTCGTATTCAGCACTTGAGGTTTTGCGCTTTGTCAATATGGACATTTTCCTCATTTGCCATACGAAATGTCATAAGTTGTTAGTATCAGTTACTTTTCTCCGATTTCATCTTTTCTTGTCCTTAGATTGTAAGCGCAGACTTTTTTCCTATTCACACCTTTCTCACGAATAATTTTCTCGAGCGCTTTGCCTCAATTAATTTTTGTACTTTGATTTTGATGCGCTGATTCTTGAATCATTACATTTTTTTTTGATAAAGTTTATCATTTCAGCAGAAACCAGTTATCCTTTTAAAGGCATCTTATGGTTTCCAGACCTGTTACAACCTGATCCTTACTATGCTCTACCAATATTAGTTGGTGTTCTAGGATTTTTCAATTTCTTTGTAAGTTCTCATTTAAAAATATTAATTTTCCCGCAACTTTGTCTCGTGTAATTTTATTCTGAGCAAAAATTTACTGATCTGTCTGCATTTATGGCATCGCTAGAAAACTAAAGGTTTGGATATATATCTCCTTAAGAGATCCTCCAGTTCGTAGTACTAGTACCGTTAGTGTTGATTGCTTGTCCCCGCTATAAGGAATATATCATAAAGCCAATTGAGCTATTATCTCTGTAATGTTGTTAACTTTATATATTCTGATGGACGTATTGTGTGCTGTTCCAGGCGCAACAGCGCATATATACTTATAATTCGGTTAAATTGATGACGGTTACCAATGTTTTTTACTCGTTATTCATGATTTTTGGTATGTATTTCATGTCGTATATGCCTGTGGTAAGTTTTTTTTTATTCTATTGAGAATTGAAATTTCCGGCTCAAGTTAAATATTCTGAAATATTCACACATTACTTTTGTTCATGTTTAAGAAAAGGTTTAAGTTGTTAAAGTCACTGAAGTGTATTCTTATTTCAGTGTATTCCATTGTTTTGGTTGTCTGTTTCTCTAACTGGATCCATACAACATTTCGCATTCAGGCATCCTAAAATCAAAAAATTTTTTGGTATAAAATCATTACCCTCAGATTCTACCACTCCTATTCGAGATCTGCTCCTCATCAAATGAATTCTTTCAAAATATGTGTTCCTTGATTTACCTGAATCGAAGAGGACTCATATAATTAAATACCGCTACTAAGATGAATGTCATGTGGAATCTGTGAATGTGTTTTGCCCTTTCTTTTGGTAATTTTATGCCCTCGTTTTTTAAAAAAAAAGTGTTTTTTATAATGCATCATGTCGGATACATCGTTGTTAATTTTATTACCATGCTATAAGATCTGCTTACATCATCTGATACTGCACAACTTTTCCTGCACATCCCTTGCTCCAATTTATGGCATACGTTTTTTTCATCTATGACTAAAAACTATTGGTTCTAATTTTTAGTTGTCGTGGAAGATAAATTCTGTTTCTTGTTTTCGTTCTTCTTATCATTCTTTTGCCGTTCTCTCAGGAATGAGTGAAGTATGAAAGCTAACAAAGTTTAGCTATTTGTGATAATTCTGTCTTGGTATGTTTTTAACTTCTGGAAACCTGTGCAGAAAGGAATCTTGAAAGATTCATCACAGAGCTCTTGGTTTTGTGGGTTCCAAAACATTGCTCAAATATAAGTGTAATCGAGTAATTTCCTGAGTACTAGAAACCTTCCAGATCTTGTTTTATGTTAGATAACAAAAATGCACACGCGTTTCATCAATTTATCAAATCTAACATCCAATATAACAGTTAATCTGAATGGAACATGTACAAAATAACGATGAAATCTTTGTATGTTATAGAAATATATAAATGTAAAAAAAAAACCTTTAAATATCATCTATAATAAATAATCTAATAAGGCACGCCAAAGCCATTAACTTGAAAAGACAAATGTTCTAACTTGACTGATTCTAGAAACACCATTACAGTACATGAGATCCATATTAGAAAAACCGTCACATGGAATATTCTTGACTGAGCTTATATCTGTAATTTCAGATGCATACGAATACAAATTAGAATGATTGGTCCAATGTAAAATTCAGTAAGCCATCATTAATTATCAATTTTGACCACATTTTAGGTTATAGGATGTTGAGGTGATGGCGTTTTTGAAAAGTTTTCAAGAATGCCTTCGTAAATGTATTGAAAAATAACGCTCGTCTCGATGTTATCATTAAACAAAAGCATTATAAGATGAAAAAAATTTTTCCATGAATGAACTGTTATTTACTTGCCATTTACAGTAGAAATTGTTCTAACTTTAGATTTAAAAAAAAAAAAATCATATGAAAGACATATATTAATGCGATTGACTAATTCATCAATTTAAACAAAGCTACAACTTACAAATAGGGAGAAATAAAATAAAATTGAAAAACACCTACAGTCAAGTTTTATTAACATGTACAAACTACTACCAGATGATAACGAACATATTTTTTTTTTGTTTGAAATGGAAACGAAAATAGATGGTCCTAATGTCACCGTGGCCCTGTGATATTTAGCTATGAATCCTGCTGTCAAAGCTATCAATATATAAAATGCTATGGAATTTCTATAAATACTACTTTGATAGCCTAATTAAATCATTCAATTAAAAATACGCTAGGGAATTTTGAAGAGCCAATCATTAACAAACTGTTTAGACATATGCTTAATTCCGATTTAATGAATAGGAAAAAAGATCACTAACTAACCAACTGACCACAAATGTACTAGTTGTTTAAAGGTTCAGGATAATTATTCATTATTTGTTTGGCTATTTCAATCTCCATCAATTAAGTAAAGAGTTATAAAAAATGCCTGCAAATCTCTCTATGTGTATGTAAGTTGATCGCTTTCTCAAATGAGTCCAATTTTGCTATTTGTTTTGCCGAAGTAAAACTCTCTTTTAATACTGAAAATTTCATGAAGTCGAACTTTCAGAAAAAGGAGTTATTCGTTGTCTACGATTTGGAGCAACGTTGATTACCAAATTAGCAATATATTTACTCTGAAATACACCATCAATGCTAAGTCTTAAAATAAGCTCTAAAATGATCTCCTGCGGTCCATCCAACGAATCCCTCAGAGCAATTATTGCTCCATTTTTTTCCTCACTTTTTTGCAAGAGAAAATTTCTTCGAACTGCTGGTAACACATAGAATTTTTCTGAAAAAAATATTCACACCAATCCTTCCAGAATAGAAAAATTTCATTATGAAAATAAGTTTTATGTCTTATGATTTTATGCATGTTTGATTCGCATAAAATCTGCTTAAATATTTTATAGCACTGATAACTTCGAGTAATGTAGAACCAGAATAGGATGAAATTTCAAGAAGCTTCAGAATTTTTGAAATGTATTAAACAGTTAAACTAAATCAGTGGTGCTCTAAAATCTCTTTTTATAACTGTGAAATAAACCAAACTCAAATTTGATATGCACCAGCATCTCATCACTACTGAGATTGATATAGGTAAAAACTAGCTTGTGTAGCTATATTTAAAAAATGAAAAAAAAAAACCTGGTATGGCGCTTTTCAACTTCAACTCGAACTGAACACTGCTTGAAGGTGATGTCGGACCACGAACAGTAAAGAGTGTGATGGAAGTTCGTCTCGATGAAATTGGTTCTTGTTTTGATATGGATGTAAACTCCCAACTTATGCGTATTGCATGATTTTTACACTCTTCTTCAGTTAATGAGTCGCATAAATGGTTTAGTCGGTTACAACGACTAAATTGCAAAAGGTGAAAGGTCAATAATATGCAATTAAAATTTCATTAATCCTTTCATCTATAAATTAGTTGTTTGGCGAACAAAAGAAGAATCAAACGAATGGTAAAAATTAAAAATCATGCTAGAATTTTTTTTTTAATTTAAAGATGTTATACTTTTTATAATTTCTGTCGTGCACATAATTCGGTGGACAACGTATTACATGGCATTTAAAGCTTCCCAATGTATTTACACAAATCTGGTCTCTTCCTTGGCATTCACCCTTTAAGCACTCATCAACATCTGCAACCAAGTTACTTTCAGAGAATATGGTTAATCACTACAGTTAATCAATTTCATTTCATCATTGAAATTTTACAACGATTTTAAAAATGCTAATATAAAAAAAAATCCTTGAAGATTTAAGTTTTTATTTGAAAGTCAAAAACAAAATTATCAAAATAGATCTAACCTTTACATGTTCTACCATCTTCTTGTATTTCATAACCAGTAGGACACTGACATTTATAGGAACCTGGAGTGTTAATACAGCGGCCCATGCAAATATCATCACCTTCAACATAGGAGCCAAATTAAGCCAAACAAATATTATTTATATTGATTAGTTAAAATATAAATATATACCTGAACCGGCCCAAAGAGAACATTCATCGATATCTTCACAGGTAAATCCATCAGTACCGAGGCGATAGCCATGTTCACAAATGCACTGATAACTACCAGGTATATTGATGCACTTCTGTGCACAATTCGCTACACCGAGACTACATTCATCAATATCTATAATTTCAAAGCTTAAAGTAATTGAAAATTTGGGCACCATTAAAATCTTTAGTGGACGAAAAAGCCACTGCACCTAGGAAACAAAAGTTTCTTTTCGATATACATTTAAGAATTTAATAAATAAACTTTTCCCGAAATTATTTTAGTCAGAGAAGTGAGTAGAAAGAGGAACAGCTTGTTATTGGCTTAAATCTTCCCGTTTTTCCCTTAATATTTCTCTTTCCATTTATTTTCAAATGTTAGTAATCACTATCAATCACATCTATTAAACAAACCTTCACAGTTTCGTGCATCTTTTGCAATTTTGAAGCCAGCTTTGCAATGACATTTAAATGAGCCATACGTATTCTTACAAGTTGCATGCAAAGAACAAACGTATCCCGCAAACTTTTTACACTCATCCACGTCTTCGCAGCGTTTCGTCTGCAATATATTATTTATTTTCATAACATACTCTTTTCATAGTTAAAAGAATTTACATATTTTAATCATCATTTTGATCCTGTACGCTTCTTAACTTACCGTATCATTAAATTCAAAACCCGCTGAACAACGGCATTTATAGCTACCCAACAAGTTGATGCATTGTTTGTCACCACAAAAATGAGTTCCATTGGCGCATTCATTGATGTCTAAAGCAATGAAAGTTTGATGCGTATGCACGGTATAACTAACAATAGTGAAGATCACAAATATCATAAAAAGTAATTTTTTTTGTTTTCAACAAGTATATAAAATTTTTTCATCTCAAGGGATGTTTCTGCGTGGCACACGTCATTCTCATTAGAATCAAACAAAATCCTACCATATCAATCAATTGGCTTATCTCATGCCTTTGCGAATATTTATTTCCCTTGAGTTTATTTTGCTGGTAATACCTTGCTACTCTATCTTGGAAACAATGCTTTTTCTTACATTCAACAATATTTACCAACACAGATTCCAGTATCTCGATCCATACGATAGCCATTCGCACATAGATTTCCTCGTTCCTGACAGCGAAATGATCCAGGAGTATTTATACATTCTTCAAATTGCATACATCGCCCCTTTACCTCACATTCGTTAACATCTGTAAATTCGGACATCTTCGAATAGGCATCCCATTCGCAAAAGCAAGTTTTCGCTTTCGTTAAATTTTTGAAAGAAATATCAGAAAATTAGTTTCAAATTTTTTTTGCAAAGCGAAGAAACAAAACATCGATATAAAAATTGAAAAAGGACCTTCACAACGTCCTCGATTTGATTTATAACCAGTGGGACACTCCATACTTGTGCATTCACCGGTTCGTGGATTCATCAATTCACCTTCGGCACACTTCGGGTCACAACGATAGCTGCCTTGCGTATTACGACATTGATACAACGGTCCACAATCATGAGAACCAAGATTACATTCATCCACATCTATCAATAGTCACATGCTTCTTTTCATTTTTAAAATTAATTAAGCTGATAGCTAGAAGTTACATCTATTTGTTTGTTCTAAATCATATGATGTAACGAATTTTCAGAAGAATCGCATAGGGCAGGAAAATAAAATGAAAAGATCTATTTCTCACAAAAATTCTTTAAAACAATATATTCCAATCTCAGTGCTATGTTATTATTGAGATTAGAATTAGAGAAGTATATTGTTTTGGGGTTAAATTAATCAGTTTAATAGAGAGGGTCATCAATTAGACTATATTTGCTACCAATATTAATTATTAGTTCTATTAATCACCATTCAACATTACTAAAGTTGCCACAGGTAATACGGGATTTTCGAAAGTATTAATATGAATGAATATAAAATACAATAAAGAGGAATAGATCATAGTAAAAATAAACCAATGCATTGTTCAGTATCGCTATTTAACGCATATCCGGTACCACAGGATAATATTCGTATGCATTTGAATGAGCCAGGAGTATTCAAGCAACGTTGATTTTCCAAACAATCATCCGCTAGTAGTAAGCATTCATCAATATCTAAGATCAAAAAATCACATGCAGATATCAATTAGAATTTGAACTCGTTGGTTTACATTCCAATTTAGAATTTTTTTTGAATTTTTGAAATGGGTTAATTTTCTTATTTTCAAAACTTACAGTAATTTGTATATGTTTAAATTTATAATGACGAATAACTCATTTAGAGGTCTCTCAAATAATGTAATGCCAAAAATCTAACCTATATCTATCAAAAAAAAAACAACAATAACACTAATTTGTGTAACTTTTATTCCGAATAAATTAAATATTTCGTAACTTAAAGAAGAATAAAGAAAAAAAAATGGGTAACCGACATTTGCATTTTGTGCAAGGAATTACCTACACAAACGGAGCCGATATCACTCCAATAGAAGCCTGGTAAGCAGACGCAGGAGAACGATCCAGGTGTATTGAGACATAATGAATTAGGCAATGGGCACACCGAATCCCACGTGTCGCATTCGTTTATGTCTAGAAGCTTGGCTTCTTGGGTAGCAAAAAAGAAGTTAATTTAGGTGCCAATTATAACATTAAAGGGATCATCAAAAAGCACAAATCTGGAAAGCAAATAGTTGAAATTGAAAAAAAAAATCAAAACAAATAGATTTCAATTTATTAACGATGCAGGTGAAACAGCTAGCATTTTTTTAAAACCATCCATCTTATTAGTACAGCAATTATCAAGAGGTTAAGCTTCCGTTATCGATCTCTTGATGGCTATTCATGTATCCCTTTCAAATATAAAAATCATCTTCCAAAATGCGCCAATTATTCATTTCAGAAATGGCGAGGATTTTATTGTCGTAAATGGGAGTGATTTTCGAAAAAAACTGATAAGAATTTTTTTCGCAAAAAGAGATCTAGTGAGTCTTATTTTTTCTAGTTTCCCAGGAAATGACATTTTGAAACATATCAATTTAAGAGCAGCTGCGTAAGGAACGATTTTTATGATAGATCTAAAACCTATAATTAAATAGTGATTACAATTTTCAATATGCTGAAATTTGTTAGAAGACATGCAAAATGCAATATGCAGGCATGCAAAATATGGTGTGAAATTTACTATCGCTTTATAATTAAAAATTCTTGTAAAATTAACAATTTCTAAGAAAATTAAATTGTCTAAAATGATGGTTAGTCACAACAAGCATAGCAATGCAATGAATTAGTTGTAATGATGATATTATAAAAGTACACGATCCAGAACAAGTAATCAAAAAAAATGAAAGAATCGTAAGCTTTTAAAGCATATCTATGCAATGTCCTAAGAGTATTAAGACATCTGACGTCCATCTGACATCAGATTGTGCGCACTCATGGTACTATTACTCAGATAATGATCCTTCGTTAAATAGCGATATCCCTTACCGGTGATTTTATCGTATCGCTTATTCAGTATACAATCAGTACTGGTACTCAAGCGAAATTCCCTTACATCACATGTTCGCAATTGATACATCCAACTTTATTCAAAGATTATCAAGAAAAAACACTCCTCAGTTGGTTAAACATTTTTTGATAAAATGCAAGAAGCTTTACAGCATTGTGTCAAATGATAGCTCAATTGAAGCGCAGGTAAGCAGTCATTGGATTAAGCATATGCAAGACAGTGCAATAGAATGGTGCAGTAAAATACCTTTAGATAGGCTATATGAAAAAGTTTACTAACCGATACAAGAGTGACCATCCGGTCCTAATTCATACCCAGGACGGCAGGAACATTCCACTGTGGTACCTCCTCGATCCGTACACACGTGTTCACATTTTGCTAATATACAACGATCTCCGACACTCAAAAGACCCACCAAATCCGAATGATCTGAAAATATTTAACTTTCTAGTGATGTTTAGTTTATTTATATATCTATCTACGTAAGGAAGAGTAAGAGTCAAACATAATTCATGTTACTTCATTGCACACGGAAATTAAAACACGATTACTCATTCTCGGACTACTGCAGCTTCATTGCGGTTTATACGGTTTGCCAGGCTTCTTAGACCGATTTTTTGGGAATCCTAGTCCTAATATTTGAATCCTAATTCAGGATCTGTAAGTTGATGAGAACTTATTCGATCAATCGTGTGTATGATTCATCATGCGTTACAGATTGAGTATTTTCCGGAAATATGTCAAGAGAATTATTATAAACTTTCATAACGATGATGCAGTAAAACGTGTTTTGATTCAGCGTCTTCAGAGCAGCATTGATAAAAGGATTGTAAACATTTTGCACCAAAACCATTCGGTGCTACGCAGTTTTTATCATTTCGTAATAGTTCCTTGGCCAAAAGGCAACACTCACAACATTCCTGTAGTAATAATGACACCTTTAATTATTATATATAAATAAAAGTAGAAATTGTAATTAGGTAATAAAATTTAACTGATAAGTAAAGCTTTTTAAAAATTCGTAATAGTTTCCTGATTTCTTACCTAATAGTATATTAAGCTAATGTTAACTGATACCTTACGGATTACTCCGCCAATTTGATCAATATTCAATGAGCATTGGTCTTCGTTTTCAGCCATTTTCATACCATGAATACAATTATGCTCCAGCAAGGTATCCATGCAACATATCGATGCGGTCAGGATACAAGTAGTACTTGCTGTTTCGTTGAGATTTATTTCAGTACACGATGATGACTGCTCAAAATGTTTCTTGCCACTTGTACAACAATGCGGTAATTCGCTAGCATTAGCGAAAGCTGCAATTTTATCTCTTAGCTGTAAATTTTTTTTCTCTTACAGAAAACAAATTAAGCTTTGATTTTTGTTATCAAATTAGTAGTTTCCAATTTTCGATGTCAAAGAAATGCAATCTATTGTTACATTAATAAAAGATAACTGTATCAGATATATTAGCGCGGCAACATTACCACCTAGAAATAGCTAGTACAGATATAGTAAATGAAATAAATCAGTTTATTTAATTTAAAGAATAATTTAAGTACCATAACCAAAACACGCTTCTTTGATTACCTTTGACTTTAATAAAAAGAAGCATTTGCAAAAGTGACACCATTCGAACATTCAGTATTTATAAGATGCTATTTAAAATATAATTAATAAATATAATACATATAATAATATAATAAATAATATAATAAATATAATAAGATACTTTAAAAAATCTTAATAACCCACCAATGACAAGCATAAATGCTAGAAAGTTTGGATTTCTGGTCAGTTGCTGCATCGAAAACTCCACAACATCTTGAAATATGCATTAAAATCTTTGAATCTGATCAAAATTACTATTCTTTAACGGTGAACTTTTCGGAATAAAGCATTAGGATTGATATATTATTACGCATACCAAAAACTAATGACTAAAAATATTATACAAATATATTTCGACTTGTTATTGCATCTAAAGAAAACAGTTTTGCATTTTAGAAGTTGACATCGACTATCACACAGTGAACAATTTCTTCTATTTCAATTTACACAAAGTACAACATTTTTGTTATTTATTCACAACCTTAAGGTAGCATGTTATACTACGTGTCAAATTTACTCTTCTACAATATGATGAAATGTCAAGTCAATGTTTTATTCGAAAGAGGTCAATGAAGAAACGAAAATTCCACATTGAAGAAAAGCAAATAAAAGCTTATCGGAATATTGAACAAGCTATTGTGAATTATTTGATCAGTTAAAAGTATGAGAAGAGAAAAGGAAAAAAAAACTTGTAAAATTCAATATACTGCAAATGATGTAAGCAAGTGGAAGTGTGAATTGCGTACTTAATTATTCCTTCCGTTAATGGATCAACAGTTCCTGCAGCATACAGTTGTCAACAGTAGCAGATCATTTATTTAACTTTCAACTTTCCTCTTTTTACCTGGTTCAAAGTTTAAGCAGAACAAAAATTGAGGAAAAAGTGAGATATAAGTGTTGTATATGTTGCTTGTATGTCTTTTTGTCCAAACTTGAAATTTATGACATTTGCTTTTCTTCTTTTCATTTCATCCTTTCATATAGAAATTTATTTTTTTCTCTCTTTTAAAATGAGAGAATGAACAGCTACTAATGTTAATTGGTGACACAACATTGCTGAATAACCATTTTAGGCTGAACAGATTGCATAAATCAGGGAATAATCTCACTATAGGGACTATTTTCATGGATTTATGGCTCAGTGATGCATTCCTAACTTTTCACACAAAATAGAAATATGAGAAATTATGGGGAAGATTACAGTAGGAAATATAAATGAAGTAATCTGTGCTGTTCAATTAAAGAAAGCGCGATCATGAAATGTTGATAATGTTATCACAACAAGGATTATTCATCAAGGTGAATACTACCGAATCGCAGTTATGATAACAAAACAATGTTTATTCCTAAAATTCTGATACAAGGGATCACTATGTATGCAATGAAAGTTTTCTATATTCAATACATTCCAACTTTAAGTGTTCGATCAAACAACTTAGCAATTGACCTATTCAAACTTGAATAACAACATTCGGGAACCCGTACTAGTCAACAACGTAACAGCTAGTAGTTAGTTATATAATGAAGATAGGGAAGATGTTCTTGATAAGTAACCCAAGGTTACAGTACAAAAAACAAGCACTTTAACTGCAGTAAAAAAAACAAACAAGACTTTAACGGTATAAAAATTGTTCAGCAACAAAAATGTAGATGGTAGCAAGCATTGACAAGAAACAGATAACGCGTCCACGAAGCACACATTATAGCAACCATTGTTTATCAGTTTAACAGTGAACTCAATTTTGATAATGCATAATGCATATAGAAGCAGACGTGTGCACATATATATATATATATATATATATATGAATAGTAAAATAAAGGGGAATATGTATGTGCCACTAGAGTATAAAATGGATGAGTAAAACTCATCCATTCCAAGTCTGATTAATATTAACTGACGTCCCCGAGGATTATGTTTCATGCTTTCAATCTTTAGTTTCGATGCCAATGATTAGCCTTTCCTACACAATATGATCAAATATCTACATTTTAATTATTTTTGTTCCTAATGAAACTACTATTACTCAAAGATGATTTTGACAGATAAAAAATTAAGCATTGCTTGGGGGAAGATAAATATAAAGTGACAATATATAAAATTTTGATCAGTCTTTGAATGCATATTTCCTTCAGGTGTAACAGAATTTACATCATATTATATCTCAATCTCTCATCCACCCAAATTGATTTCTGGATGATCCTGATTTCATCCAAAGTGCTGTTTTTTTCTTTTTCTAATAAAAAAGAATTAATGTGAGTAGAAATGGATTTTATACTTCCGTATTTAACTATATAATCTTATGGTAATAATTTGCATAGTATGAGATAAAAGTATAGATTTGAAATTTCAGTGAATGGAAGATCAATATTATGGTATAAAGCTTACGGGAGAAATCATGATATTGAAAAGAGAATAAGAGAGTCAAAATTGAAAATTACCAGAACTGAGAGCCGCCTAATCAAAGCAATTTTCTGAAATAGCAGGAAGTGTTATTCAATATTGGGTATAAAATTTCCGGCTACTCTATTAGCACACTAATGTGGCCTGGTTAATATACATCGGTTAAGGCTAAATTCCATCAAAGTCAATCTAATTGCAAAGGGTTCATTTTCATTTAGTGGCATCCTCTAAGGTTTAACTAATATGCGATCTAAATGAGCGCCATCAGATTTATTCTCTATTTCTGTTCTGCTTTGACCTTTTATATGTAGTGGGCACCTCGGAAGAACATTTTTCACGGCGTCCTACGACATCATCTGAGACCGCATCGTATATCGGGCGCGTTGGTTATGAAGTGAGAGGATGGGAGGAAAGTAGTGGTGGCGGAGGTGGTTGTTGTTAGGCGGTATTTTTTGAGGTATGAAAAGTTGACATAGAGAATGCTATAGAGGGCATGCATTGTTAGGAGATGTGGGACATGGATGTTACTGAATGGATAATTGAAACGAAGCTAGTTGAATAATAGTAATTCATTCCTGTAGACAGCTCAGGGCATTATATTGACGGTCTTTTTCACGGAAAAGATGAGTTTTGTTCTCGTGTGCAGTTTCATCCATCTTTGTTTTTTATTTCGTTATAGGCAGAATATAATCGGAAAAAATTTGAATACTAAAATATAATACTTAAATACAATACTATTCCATACCATTTCTGCATAATAAATGAAAAGTTACAGTAATTAAAATGAGTTCAACGAATTTATTCTCGAAGTCATCAGTCGATGGATTAGGATTAAACAAGAAGTGCAAAAAAGAGAAAGCTAAAAATGATTATTATCAACGGAACGATCAATCCCTTACGCGATTTGTACTATCAAATGGTTTGTTACTTTACTAATGCATCTGAACGTCGTAATTGCTTCCTTGTCATAAGGTCCGGAAGATCTTGTCTTTTATATGAAAAGAATGAAATAGGCAATTTCGAAATTTAAAGGGGGAGCGCAATTTTGTGGATTTCAAAGCTGCGCACAGTCAAATTTCCAAAACACTGCCGAACCCTGAATTGTGGGAAATATCGAGTACTGTTAATGTATTGTTTATGCCTAACAATGGTTAGTACTGTCCTTTTTCTATGCATGTGTATTTTACTAGTGGCAGGTATGCATACTATACATACTATCAGGTGGCTTCCCCAATGCAGGTTATTGGGCAAGGCATCGGAATTTTTATTTTAACTCATCCGCTGATCAGGTGCTGTCATTGGTTCCGACTGTCTCGTTTTCGGTGGCTAGCATCATAAAATTTACAGTATGAAGCAATGTTAAAATCAGATTCCGTGAGAAAATGCATCTACTGAAACTTAGTGCCACCTTTATGTATTTTCTTGTTTATTACACATTTAAGGTGAACTACCTGAGAAACAACTTCACTTACTTCGCCATCCAAAGACGGGTAATGCAACATTATATGCAATTGGAAGTGATAGAGTAGAAGAATTATTGAAATTTGATGACGGTTTCAGGTATAGTTTGGAAAAGCTTGAACTTTGTGTAACAAATTAGTTTTAAAATGTGCCACTGGAGATTGAATGGTTGAGTTTGGTTAATATTCCTGTTTTAGATAATTTTAAGAACTGAAAAAATGCAAACACTTTTTTAATAATTTTGGAAACGTTGATGTGTACTTCTTTTTTACAGTGCGAAATTTTTTTTAAGGTCAGTTCTGCTTGGTAATAATGTAGTTAGCAATGGCTCATTGGTTTTATTAGTACCAGTGAATCCTGCGCTGCTCTTGTTGCCTTACTTGCAAAAATATGCGAAGGTAATATTTTATGGTTATTTGTTAAAACAAAACGATGCATGAGCATCAACAGACATCTTTTTTATCGCATCAGTAGTCATCTTTTCCCTGAGGTTTGTTTGATTGTACCCGAAAACAGGTCATTTTAACGATTTATATAAAAAAGCAGATAATTCGTTATTTTATTATGCACAGGAGTAAAGGAGTTTTGCTTTTGACTTGAGTTTATATTTTTAACAAAAGTACTTTACAAATCAGATATATAAAATCGAAATATTTTTATCATAGTTTGAAACAGCTTGGCCAAATTCTTTACAATATTTGTGCTTTTTGTAGGATGATTACGTTTCATTGAAGGATATTTTAGTGGATGATTGTTTTCCATCCATAAAATTGCTTGAGAACGTTAAAGCTGTGAAAACATCGTTGAAACATGCTTGCCACTGTAAAGGTTCGTATGCCTATTAAATTATTAATCGTTTTTTTTTTCCTGTGAACATACCATGACTTTCGGTAGTACTTTTGTGATATATTGTTTTGCTTACACAATACCTAAAAATTCATAATTTACTTCAAATTTAGAAATATCAAACATCGAAACATACAAATATAGTGAATCTTTGCTGGTGGATTATATAATGAACAAGATAAGACTGTTGAAAAAATCCGATTATAGTAAGTTTTTAACAAACTGCATTATGCAAGAAGATCTAAACTCAGTTTGAATTTTTTTAGCTATTTAACTCTTTCTCTATGAAGTTCACACTTTGCCTTTTGACCTCTTTTGAAATTATTTCTAGTTGTATATTTTATCTCTTGAAATGTTGTTGATTGCGACTGAAATTTGATTTTAAATAATTATAAGGAAAAAATGAGGACTTAAAAGATGTCCTAATGCTCATGGAAGGGAAAAGTAGAAAGAAGAGATCGATAAAGCATTTAGCTCTTTATAAATAGAGTAATTTAATAATGGATTTGGTATCATAAGTTTAACTAAGTTTTTGTCGAACGAGGCCTTAAGAAAAATAATATCGTAATGGTATTATCTTTACTATCAGTCGTCTGTTGTTACAAACTCATATACGTATCTTTAATACGGAAAATTCATGTTCTTTAGAATCAAATTTTGACTCTACTGTTTGCGGCATGTTGGAGGAGAACCTTCCAGATGATATACTGAGGTTGGTAGAAATCTGTTTTATCCCCGAGGGGAATGAAGACTCTCCACCGAATAAACGTCAAAAAAATCAGGATTCTGAAAGCAGGGAAAGGAGAGATGAATTAACTGGAAGTGATATCAGACCACTACAAGAAACGGTGGGTGATATGCTTTAAGGATTGAATATACAGAATTTTATCCTTTTCAGTTAATATTCTGAGACTGTTTTGGAAACGTCGTCAAGAAGTTATTGTAAATCTTGCTGTTCTAATAACCAACGCTAACATCGTTACAACAGTTTTATTGTAAATTAATTGTAGAATTATGCAAATGCAAAAGAAATTTTCAGGATTCACTAGCTGCTGAAGTGCCGATCAAATATACTCGCTTAAGAAATGGCAAAATATTTACTTAACAATTACATTCCTGAATTGACTTGTTTAGATGATCAAAATTTATTCGCTACTAATTGTTATATTTTTCTGAATTTAAGAACGAGATATTCTCAAAAATTGCCACTTGATACTGATGAGAGTCATCTATATCTCCTGTAAGGAAATTACTTCAAAAATGAACGCTTACAATATAAACTTATTCTATAATACAACCTATTCATTGTTTGTCATGTTTTTTTTGTCACCTTTCCACTTTTTAAAAAAAAATTTTGACTGGAATTGAATGAAATATACCTCTAACGTGTCCTTGTATGCTGATATGGTTTATGTTTGGAAAGCATATGCATTATACAGAAGAAAGTGGTTAATTTGGAAATATCAGTCCGGCCAGTGCATTTTCATTGCTGTTCTCTAACTCAGTAGGTGCGTTTTAATTTTGCAACTTAAAGTTACTGTAGGACAAGCGTGGAAAAAGGGAATACTAAACAGCGTTGAACTTGGGATGCCGATAAATGAAGGTCCTGTTTGTGAATTTGGAATGATTCATATGTTTTAATCGTAGAATGTTCAAATATATGCCAAAAGTTAACTAAAACATGACAGGAATTATCTGTTCTTGTTTCTTGTCTTTGTGTTACGGACAATTCCCTTCAGTGTCCCGATACTGGTAGCTCATAACAGTTGGTCCTTGGCTATGGATAAACTGGATAAAGGTTTGGTGAAGATAATTCGAAATAAAGCGAAGGGAACTGTTGTCATTTTTGATCGGAATGTGGGTTTTTTATGCTTATTTTAATTTTCATGTGCTTGACTAGGGCATGTTTCCAGTGGATCTTGTTTGTCTTATATTTTCTCCAAATGAAAAATTGTTTCCTTTCATTTTGGAATATCCTGTATATTCTTTGGATGACTGTTTGACTTCAGGAATTTTATGCGTGTTATGATGACGATGCAGTTTTCATTGCAAACAATATTTTTTGCAGTGAAGTGGGTCTTCGACGATGCCAACTTGGTGAGTAATCACTATTTCCAGTTCAACGCTAGCATGAGTATTTTTCTGGAGAAAAAAATGTTTAACAGTAAATTATGTCGTTAGTGAAATCAAGCAGTTATTCTATCACATTATGTCGTTAGTGAAATCAAGCAGTTATTTCATGTAAAAACTCTGTGAATAGGAGATGAATGCACTCACTGATAAATGCTTGTAGATGAAGTTGAATTAACGTATCATGTTTTAAATAGCGCGCAGTATTTGCGCGTTATCCACGATGTTATCTTAGTGCATCATTATCGTGTAGAGGTATATGCTGCAGATGATGGACAGTGGGAACTTAAAGCGAAGGTGAGCTTTCTACTGGTTGCGATAAAGTTTTACTGAATTTTTTGAGTACTTTACATTGTTTTCAAGAAAATGAGTGAAAATTTATGAACTTTACTTGTTTGATCGGATCCATAGGCAATTGTCATAATGGTAGAGAACTAAGCAAAGACGGAATGCATAAAATGATATTATGTGTAATTAAATTGCTGACTAAATGTTGGGGAGAAGGTAAAATACCATTTTGTAACATGTTGTAATACATGTTACGCCTCCGTCTGGACGTGCACATTGTCACAGCTGGGAATGAGAACCTCTTCCAGAGCCTCTTTTTTCAAATATTAATTTAGTAATTTAAAGGCAAGCATAAAATTTATTTGTTTTAAGGGTTCACTAGGATGTTTAAATGATTTTGAAGAAATTATTGGGGATAGTGCTGAATTGTACGAGCTTACAACAGTTGCGGCGTTAACTGTGACAGAAGGACATGATTCCACTGAAGTACCTATTACTCTGAACTTTCGGTTTTTTATTTTTGAACATCAAAAGAGTTTCACGAAATTTTCTTTTCAACTAATCCGAACTAATTTTCCTAAGTCTTAGAATTTGAAGAAATTTTTTGTTTAGTGTGTGGTCTCTGTTGTGTCCTGTAATGTTCGAGAAATGCAGCTTACGATCGCCGAATTTCTTGATAATGAGCATTTCGTGAATTTGGAGGTAAGCGCAAGTGATATCTCTATCAATTAAAATTAGCGTCGTTTATTTGAAATGGTCAGAGTTCTGATGCTGATATGATCTCAATTCAAATAACTCATAAGAAAATTTTTTAGAAATGTTTGGCTGCATTGGTGCCCCGAGAATGTTTACTGGTTTCGAGTAAAAGGGGAATATCATCTGTCAGTTTATCCGGCGAAAGTAATAACCAATTGAATACAACGCTCAAAAAAGCTGGTATCAAAAAAGAACTCTTTCAGTTTAATGATCAACTTCCTACTCTGCTTTCTGATCAAATAGTTCGAATGATCGATCCGAAATGTAAAGGTAATTTTTTGCATGAGTTGTTGAATTTTCCATTTGTTATATGTTAGTCTGTCGAAGTGGAATTACTGCTGAAGTCAGTATTGGAAAATGAATGTTGCTTTCTAGAGCTTCTGTCATCTGGCAAATTGAGAACAGACTCGAGCAAATTTGTAGTGTAGAAATTTTTAGGACTGCTTGAATTTCCTATTTCAGAGCACCCTTCGGAAGTTAACTTACTCTGTTGTTATATTTTGCGTCCTTATTATTAAGAGCCATTTCTGTAAAAACATTGCTTTCTTTCAGACATTCATTTTTCAAGAGCGCAGAAAAGTTGTCTTGTGGGATTGATTCAGTATTTGCATTTGAATGATGATGGAATGGGAAGTGGAAAATTTCAATTACGTAATTATAAATCGGCAGGTTACATGTATTTGAATTCTGCTGCGGTAAAAGCTCTCGAATTGTTCAGTGCATATCAAGAAGATGGTATTTTTTGTTCTTTTATTAGTCTTCTTATCATGTTTATATAGTTGTTCATTATGCATAAAATTCTTTGTTGTAGCGATAGGTAAAATAATGTCTGAGCGAAGTACGGTAATTGATTAAATTTCAGAAGATTTATTGAATGATGTAGGTTCGCTTTATGAATTATTAAATAAATGCCGCACTCCTCAAGGACAACGCCTTTTACGTAAGTCTTAGAAGCGTAATTAGGATCGAAGTAGTTTTTTAAACCAAAAAAATACTTTCTTATAATAATTTCGATCCATGGCAAACATAACTTTTAATGTTCTCAAGATATAATTGCAGGTGAGTGGATTCGACGACCTTTACATGATATACGTAAAATTAATGAACGATTAGATGTAGTTGAAGCTTTTGTCAATGATTCATCATGCCGTGCTATGCTTCATAATGACATCTTACGTCGAATACCTGATATCACATCAATTACAAGGAAATTGGTGCAGAAGAAGGCAGGCTTGCAGGTTCTAATAAGTTTTACTTATGCTGACTTTTGACATTTTGTTGAGTTTTCTTTAGAAGCTAGTTCGCACATCTGAGGAGGTGGCATGAGATAGTTTGAATTGTTGCGGCAAGAAAAAGAAGAAAGCTCATTATTGGTGGTTTTTGTAGGAAATTAAAAAGAAAGATAGCAATTTATTTGAAGGAATGTTATCGGCTTTACCAGATCGTCTGTCTGCTGAAACGATTCCATCAAGTACTGGCCGAGCTTCACGCCTCTTGTGGTTCCTTAGCACCGTCTGTTAATGATTTATGTTTGGTAGGTGTAAAAAGCCATATCTTTATAACCGTAAAATTTATGCATGCGACCATAATTTTCGAATGTCTATGCTTGTATTTTGCAATCAGAAACTCGTCTTTAAATCTATTTTGCAGGAGCCACTTGCTCTAGCGCAGTTACAGTTTGAAAAGTTCACGGCACTGATTGAAAGTACAGTTGATATAGCTTATTTCAAAGAAAATGGATTATATAGGATTTTACCAAATATTGATGAATATTTGGAAGCGACAGCTGAAACAATGTATGAGATTGAAACGAAGTGTAATACTTTGTTAAAGAAAGTAATTTTTTAACCATTTTAACAATTTGATGTTGTTGTTTATTGTTGCTATTTCAGATGGCTATTAAAATTTGCATATTTTTGTTTCTAGGTTTGTTCTAGAATAACCGAAACAGTCAAACTTGAAAACACTGAACATCACGGTTTCCATTTTCGAGTCACTCTAAAAGTAAGATTTGCTGTGTAACTTTTATCTAATTTGATTTGTGTGAACTACTGAACATTACTAGATCTTTCAAAATTATGGGAGTTTGCGATTTCCTTGCACGTGAAATTTGGAAGAATGATATTTTAGGCTGAAAAATCAATTAGGCAGTCAGGTATGCATATTCTCGAAACAAGTAAAGGTTCCGGTGTACGCTTTACCTGTGACGATTTGGATGCACTAAATGGTGAATATATGAAGCTTTCTTCTCAATACGAATCAATCCAAAGTAGCTTTGTCGACATGGTTGTCGAAACTTGTTGTGAGTTATACTTTCATCAACTGGAGCACTGTTTTATCTATAAAAATTATTGAAAAATGGCTGTTTAGCAGATCCAAAACATAAAATTTAGAACATGTTGTCGAATCAAGAATATTTTAGCTGGTTATATTTCAACATTCTGTGAGTTATCTAAAGTAATCGCTATAATTGATACTTTGGTCGCACTTTCTATGCTGGTCAGCGGATCTTCTTTCTGTTACGTGAGACCACAAATACTTGATGAAGGTCAGTTTTGCGAATTTAATTTAGGTTGAAAAGAAACTGTGCTTAAGATTTGGTTTTAATTTTCATTTTTTACAAATTTGGAACATCGCCTTTTATTTTGCTGCACCTAAGATTTTATTAGGAAGATTTACTTATAAATTAAGACTATTAGATGAAATATATATCTTTTCATTTTATTAAAGTTTTTCATGAGTAAGCAAGCAAGTTCTTTAGGTAAGCAAGTTCTGGAACTCAGAAAGTGCCGTCATCCAGTTATGGAGGCGAATCCGAATTCCCCACAATTTATATCAAATGATGTAGTTCTCGGCAGCGAACAAGGAGGTGTTAAAACTACTTTTATGAGAAATAATGCAGATTATCTTCTTGTTGTAATATTTTATAAAATTTTATAAGTACCAATTTTTATCTTAAATTGAAGTGGCACTACACTGTTTCATAGATGCAGTATATTTCAGATGGTGCAATGTTTTTGATACTGACAGGCGCAAATATGGGAGGAAAAAGTACATACTTACGTTGCTGCGCACTTTCTGTCCTTTTGGCACAAATGGGCTCATTTGTGCCATGTGAGAGCGCCAGATTTTCTCTTATAGATGGCATTCATACAAGGTACGTATCCGGTTTGAAATTGGTTATGTCGATTTGTTAATCAATTCTGTTATTCTACATGGTACTTTTTCGTTTCTTGTAAGTTTCATAGCATTTTCATTAATGAAATTATGACCGCTTTTTATAAATTTAATAGATAGTCTAAGAAAAATCAGCAAGGTTCCACGTGAACTTTCTTTTGGTTTCCGATCTAAATGAAAACGAATCATATCACAAGGGAACACTTTATAGAACTCGAAGGAACAAGTAGTATTATTTTCTCGTCACAATGATTGACGTATAAATTGATTCAACTTGGATTTTTGCAAGTCGGTCATTATCGGCCTGCTAACTAAGGCAGTCTGTTGACGATATACATCTTCGTTAAGAATTGTCGAGAACAAGAGAATTGTGAAGAGCAACTACAGTCAATGTTTCAAATGTTAACAGCATTTTAGAGGATATTTATAACACTTCTTTCATTTTCCTCACATTTAGGATAGGTAGCTGCGATTATCAATGTAAAGGGGTTTCTACGTTTATGGCAGAAATGAATGACTGTGCATCAATTCTCGAAGTCAGTTTTTATATCTTTCTAAGTTGGTGCTAAATATTTCATTAAAATAGTTCGTCCCTCAAGTATATTTTGGAGACCTTTTTTGAATCAATCTTGTGAAAATTTTGTGAGCTGAAAGGAAAAGATAATAGTGTTTTCTGTCTCAGATTGTTATATTTTACAGTCAGCAACCTGCCATTCGTTGGTTATTGTTGATGAGTTAGGACGTGGTACATCAACATATGATGGCTTTGGATTAGCTTGGGCAATTGCAGAGTTGGTTGTATTTTCTTTTTTGCAATATTTTTCCATTGTAATTTCTTTTTTTTTTACGGTTAAGCAGATAGAATATATATGTATTTTTAGTATCATATCTTCGTATTTTACCATTAAGCAAAAAGAGTTTATAGAGATATTGTCTCGCGAGTGAAATGTTTCTGCATATATGCTACGCATTATCATGAACTGACTGGATTAAGCCGTGTGTATCCGAAGCAGTTGAAAAATGTCTGTACCGCTTCTCAAATTGATGGGGACGGGCAACTCATTTTGCTTTATAAAATAATATCGGGCGTTGCGGACCGTTCTTTCGGCTTGAATATTGGTAAAATGATTGGTCTGCCCGACAATGTTCTTCAGGTATGCTGGTTTTCGAACCATTGTTTTTAATTCTAGAACTTAGTCTTGACATTCACAAGCAAAGAAATCAAAGAAGCCATATGCTTGCAACGACTATTCTGAAATAAGATGAAGCTTCAGACTGCGAGCGACATGTTGGAGAGATTGGAAGCAGGAAATCCGAAGTTAAATTCGGATGAAGAGGAACTGTATAGAATGATCCATAGTTTTGGAGACGATGAGCTGCGGCAACAGATCCTGGACAATTTGATAAGTGAAGAAGGGGACTAACCAGCGTGTCCAATCTTTTTTAAATGGTTTCTAAAGTTTTATGCACATGCCTCTTGTATGCGAGCTCTGTGAATGAAAGCGAAGTATTATTGTTCTACACATTCATGATGTCTCCCAATCTTGAAACTCCAGGTATCGGCAATAGAGCCACAGCTTAGTAAGTAATGTAAAAATCGTCACATATAATGGACTTTAGATACCTGAAATGGTAGACGAGTTGTCGATAACAAACTGCGCCATAAGTTGCCTTGGTTGCATTCGATAGCACGTTTGTTAGAAAGCGGTTATTTCAGACAACTGCTTAACAACAACCAATGAAAATTTATCATTAGAATTTTCTTTCTTAAAATAACGAATTAACTCTTAACCGCTCTACAGCAATCAACAAAATATGTATCATTTTGTGGGTGCTCCTTGCTTCGCTTCAAGTTTTCCTGTATTAGTTTGTACGTCCGAATCCAAATGTGGGCTAGCGTCTTCATTGGAAGCAGCAATACTAATATGGTATTGTGGAGGATCGTAGAAATCGCACATCGCATCAGGACTCGGATCACGTCCCTGAATTATTAATTTAAAGAATTATGCTGAAGAAGGTGATTTATTGAAATAGAATGGTTTAAAAAACCAATGTTTAAATTCAGAGGCAAAAAAGTTTCAATTTGATATACCTGGAAGCGCCGATAAAGTTCCCTTTGCGGCTGACTAGCTCCCTCGAACAAAATTGCTTTTTTCAGACGATCGCCTGTTGCACAAACGTCATCTTCCTTCTCAAACGTATCGTGGATATCCAAAGCCAGCATCTAAAATACATTCGAAGAAACAAAAATTCATATGCAAATTCGATGATTTCATTTGCAAAGAATGGACTGAGTTTTTGTAATTTTTTTCCAGGAACTATGACACTATCAAAATACAAATCACTTACTACCAGAACGCATCGCACTACCATAACACTTGGATCACTATCATTACACACTGAGGATGCTTATTAAATGCTTCGAGCTTGCATCATAAATTCAAAGGAACATCTCAAAACACATTTATGTTTACTATACTACAGTACTACGAACTACAAGTTCTTTTCATATTTTGTGTTCTCTCAGCATAACTTAAAAACAACCATACCTCTGCCCAAAGTCGATTGTAATACATGGCCATCGATATATTTTTACCAAAAATTGGAGCAAAAGAACATGGTTGCATATCTTTCTTTGAGTTTTTGAATGCAAAATATTCCGTCAATTTTTGGTGGTATATTTCTTGCCATGTAACCCTATGAAACAGACTAGTTAAGAGACTGACCATTTTCGACAAGATCACTTAAACGTCACAGAAATAAGAGAGCACTTCGATTATAAACCAAAGCCTATTTGTACTCTATTCATATTAAAGCTTTGTGACCTCCTAGAACCAGATCCACAAGAATGAGAGTGATTTCCTCAAGACGCTATTTTTCTGATTTGCTGCATGCTCTGGGGAAAAAATGCCGATTTACTAAACATTAGACAAATTCTTGTTAATAAACACATTAACAACTGGACCATATAAACACTTTCCCCAAGGAATAAAATGATGGTGACATTTTTTTTAGCATATTGCTAATGAAAGAATTGAAAACAACTAACTGATCAGTATCTTTCGTGTCGAAGAGCGTGAGATCAAAATCTGTCCAAAATAATGCACGATAAGTTTCATAAAATGTGGAGCGTGATAAACCCAGTGCAATATTATTTGCCTTGGTTTCCGACAATGCTTCACCAGTTTTCTTGAAATATAAAGAATGTTTTGAGTGCTCTTTAAGAACAGATAAATTGCGATCTGAATCATTATCGATAAATTTCTCAGACTCGGATTTTCCGTTAAGTTGCATACGTAATAGAAAGAATAAGCAACATGAAAACTTACCAGATGTTTGCAGGACAAAGCAGTTAATAGTACGGGCTTAAAAATGAAAAACTGCACAATAGTTGGCAGCAGATCCACAGCATCCATATCATGAGCGTGGAAAATTTTCCATGGTACTACCAGATCTCTGTATGGTGATTGAGAGAGCAAAAATTGCATCGCACGACCTGCCTATAACATTTAAACCAGCTCGATGCTATAATGTATACATACATACATCACAGACACTGAAAAAAGCAGTTTGTATTTAAGATATATCTTGTATTTTGTAACTGAGGATATAATAAGTAATCGAGTAAGCATAAATCAATCTTATCTATTACATGAAAAACACTACTGACAACAATTAAACTTACGACATGAAAGTCATCCGAGTGCTCAACACAACAATTTCATTAATTCAAACGAAATTCTGTTTCTTTGCTTATTTGACGCATTCAATAACAAATGGAGTTCACAGACTTACATGGAAAAGAAGATTCTGTAATTCCTCATAATGTAGAAGTGTGGATGAGTCCGGTGAACTAGATACGCTGAGATTAGCAAAGAGATAAACTATTTTATCCCACCTATTTTCGGCACAATAACCTAGAATTTTCACACTGAAAATTAGTCTGTCCAAAGTTATGATCAATTATCGATAAGGACTATGGCGTAGACAGATGGTCTAAACGTCAACATAGGCATATATTCTGCCACACTTTATAACAGTAAGTGCGATCAATGAATAAATAGTTACTTCGTCCAAGCAAAGCATCCCATGTACAACACTTATTCGGCCGTTCGAAAGGATCAACATAGAGGCGACCCAAATGTAGTCCTAAAAAACACAGTGGTCAATTAAAAATAATTTCTGGTGCGTCAGAACATTAATATACTTGGGGTAAATTAACATTAAACTGCAATGCTCTACGCTAACGCTGAAGGTCAAAAACAGTTTACCTGATGAGTCTGTTACGGAAAAAATCCGAATATCTGGATGACATCGATCAAGGCTGTCACTAGTGATGTCCTTAACAAAATTTTACATTAAGCAATTAACATGAGAAATGTAAGCAATAAGTGCTGCTAAAAAAACAATCCAGAAGAGCAAGTGTTTACTGGTAAGTATAGCATGGCTAATTTGAACATGAAAGGAATGGCAGCTTACTTCGAACAAGACATCGAATACGTATGAAAAGATTTCCAACATATTCTCAAATGTAGGCCAGAAAGGGAAATAATACATAAGATCCAAAGGGTCAATTCTGTAAATTAAATAACTAAAAAATTTTTTATAATTCCGAAAGCCAAACGAAACAGTAAAATACATTAAGGAATAACTATAATATGGATCTTGGTCATTAATTAATACAATAAATTTACTCGTGTAAACTTTCCGCCTCCTTACGGCAAATATAATATAAATCCGACGGAGCAAGGGTATAAAGTTTTTCCTTCTCTGCAGCGAAATTGGACCAAGCTTGCATCCGATCATCGAATAATGGTCGCATTCTCCTTGCTAAACTAAAAAATACATTTCTCAAAAAAGGAAGATGTTAAAGAGTATCACAACATGATTTCATTTAAGAAACAATCACACTGGCAATATTTTGGGGAAGTGAAGGGAATTTAGAAATGTTGTGTTGCAAATGTCATGGTCTCTGTAACCTAATATATTAGCAGTCCATCTCATGGTATAAAAATATTTCTTCAAATAGTGTGCTGCCGGACACGCTCTGATTAAATCGTCATCAACTTTTCACAAAGCATGGTGTGTATAATGACTTGAATACAGTGTAAATGAAATTTACTAACGCTTTCGTAAATTTTCGTACAATTTTTGGGGATTCTGCCATTTTGTAAGCCAATCTATATTCAGCATATGTGGAAAATCCCAGCAATGCAGCTTTCTTTCCTCTAAAAAATTCTACGTATGTCTAAATATTTTATAAAAATAATTAAGTTCTAATGCAAACAGAAAATAATCAAATTCTCAACTTACATTTTATTAAACTAAAATAGGGTACATTTGTTTCTTGGACATCCAGTTTATCATGCCTCTCAGTTGAGCAATCCTAAACTTAGCAGTGAATCCAAGAAACGAAATACAATTCTTTTAGAATATGAATCACGACTCATCAAAACATAAGTAGAGATTTAGCATGTCAATTGTATCAGTCTTTATTACAGAGTAACCAACGTTGCTTGTAATATCCACAAAGCAACTCTTCTCGAAAACTTACTGATGTCTTCTAATAGTTTCAATTGTTCTTGCATTACTTGTAACACGTGCTAAACTATGTGGCTTTGCAGCACATGTAATCCATTTATCCCAAACAGTTGCACGAATAGCCTTATCAGAACAGTAGGTCAATATGGGCTTTATAGATCTCGCTGTTGCAGCAACAAACCATGGTCCCTCTTCATATTTCGTTCTATAAAATCTATCTTGTAATTTCATTCGGTGCTCAAAATTATTTGCAAATATTTTTTGTACCATACAAATATAATAATGATATGTATCGATATAAAAATGATTAGATTGCCTGTTTACTGCAAGTTTCCTGAACACTTCGGGAGGCGCATCCTTGAACAATGCTCGATCTGTAATTTGAATATCCTCCATATCTTCTGAATTTCGCAATATCATTCTAAACAAGGGAAATTCTAAAACAGTAGTAATAGACGAATGATCATAACGATTTACGTGCGAAAGTTGCCAAAACTATCAACCTCATAAAAAATGTTCACATATCTGAGTAAAATCTAACAACAATTCTTCTCACCACATAATGCACAAGTTGCGACATGTCCAAGATCCCAATAAGTTGCAAATTAAGAAACGCTTCAAGCATACCTATATCTAAATATATAATGTTCGACAAAACTATCGTGTCCTGCGAACTGCTCATGTTTTTTCGAAGATTCACCCATAGCTGTTGATTTCATTTGCAGATAATAGAAATCGGCAAGCCTTCGCTTCCATCTCTCTGAGGTTTCATTTCTTTCACAGAGTGTCTAAAACTTCTTATATTATGAAAGTCCTTAACATCTTTCACTTGTAAAAATCTCATTTCAATATCGAAAAATACAAATATTGCTCAAAAAAATAAGATTATTCCTCGCATAATACGAAGTTCATTGAGATTAAAGAAATTGTGAAAAGATGGAAACAGTTCATTGGTTTTTCTATCATAAAGTATGTTTTTTGGTACCGAATCTACGAAAAACAAATGACATGTCCCTTGTTAAAATGCTACGAAAACTACACTTCACTTGAAAGCAAAATGTCTGGGAAGAAGATAACGTTAACCTTGATGGCTTTGAAAAAAACATCGTATTTCCACTTAGAAGAAACTTCATTGATGGCTAATTCTTGAATCTGTAATTACTGCTCCCAAAAATTATTCCAAACAGAAAAGTCTTTTCTGACAAAGAAAAGCCGAGAAACTCTAATATGATTAAACGAAATATGCATCCATAAAACACTAGTTTCGAAAGAACAACCACAGTAGTGAAGTAACAGAACTCTTAGGTATCAAAAATGATAAGCCACCACCAGGTCCCTCAACACTTCTTCTAAATCAAAGACATAGACTTCTAGCTCAAAGACATAGATGTAAGCCGTAACTTACTTTTATGAAATCAGCATGTAAATCACTAGAAATTGGCCAGTCTGTAACCATTCTAGTCCACAGTGTATGAAAAGCGTACAAGACCTGTTCTTCTTCCGCAATAAATGGTTCAATAACATTTTCAAAAGTTAGATCTTCGGGCTGCACTGAAACATGACACTATCGCCATATATTTATATCCCATTTATCAAATCAGCATGTCATAAAACTTTTCTTAATAGGAGAATAAATAGGGAGATGAGAAATATTTCGAAACTGTTCATAAATTCAACAACAAATGAAAACGTCTAGCTTACTTCCTTCTAATACTTTCATATGCTCATGCAGTGTAGTTCCATACTCCAACAGCATCCGAACTGTTCCTTCATACATTTCTTTCGCTGAAGCTTAAAATTACTCTAAAGACATGTAGAAACATTTTCATGGACCTTCTAGCACCAAAATGGAGCGAAAAGCACAGCATAATAGAGGTCAACATTGCAAAACGCCCAAACCAGCAGAGAGGAAACTGTGTCGGTTCAACTGAACCGACACAGCGCACCATATTCGAATTAATGGCATAGCAGAAAAACTTACGTGAGATACAAAGAGCTGGCCAGTCTTCTGCATTACAAACATTGGCCATAAATCTGTTATTCTCGGGCGTAGCATTCGGCACAACAGGAAATCTGTGACATACAATAAACTGTCAGCATCACGTTTCTCATTTGAACAAATAAAACCGCAATAGACTAACACATTATTGGTTGGTTAATTGTTAAAAAGGGAAAGGAAATGAATACCATAATCAGAAAATACGCAAAACATACAAGGCATAATAACCGACACGTCGATAAGTATTTGATAATGAAATAGCTCGTCTAGAGCCAAAGAAAATCCAGCCACAGCTGGTTGATGGTTCCGAGATGGTTGCATCTTTCGACAGGACACGGCCAAACCAAGCCGCCCTCCTAGCAATGACTGATACCATCCCTATAATGTTCTATCCTTACCAAAAGCAGTTCTAACATGAAAGATATATAAATGCCTCCAGTGACGTAAAAAGCTTACGTGAACAATATTATTCTCAAAATTCTTACTTGCTATAATCCTAACTTGGCAAAAGCAAAAGCATAAAGAGAAATTTTCATCGCCGTTAACGAATAATAATATTGACAATACTCGAATTAATCGTAATCATCGGAAAGTTGAAAAAGCTGTTTGGAGAATTGTCTATGAGCAACAACAGTAGGAAACACATAGAGCATTTGTTCCCGAGATGGAAAAGATTGATGGGAAAGATTGCAGAAAATACAACCAAAGATTGAGAAAAAAAATCGAGTATATACACAGAGACCTATGTAGACCGTAATTTAAGAAGATGTCAACAAACTCATAGCTCATCCAAATGTGTTTCTTTCGATGGGCTTCGGTTCATATTGCAATACCAATTTATTCGGCCCGTTTCTGAAGAGTGCTTTCACTGCTGCCATGCCAACGTTGTTCATTTCTGATGTGTTCCGTATAATGCTAGACTCCTCTGCCAACTCTACATCTCATCCGGATGATGAACTAGATTGCATTCCTATCCGAACCTTTACTCGAATTGTAATGTTTAATAAAACCCCGGAAAACTTCATGGAAGATCCCACAAATGATGCAGACTCCCTAGATACCATCCGCTATCAATCTTGTATGAGTGATGAGCTAGACTGTATTCCTATTCGAATCTTCATCCGAAATATAATCCATAATACCGGAAAAACATCGTGGAAAAGACATTTCATTATCAACGGAACACTATAACTACAATAAATATATCCGTGGGAAATATAAGAAATAAGAAAACTTCCATATATAGTTGGAAGAGTGAAAAAGAAATAAAAGATGATGAAATTCATGAAGTTATGCTCACTGTCAAAAGAACAACTGATAGAAGTTTTCAGAAAAAAGGAAATGTAAAGAAAAGTGCATATGAATGATACCAATAGATGGGATACTTGTAGAGACACTCTTATTCACTTATTTTACTACATATGCCATTTCATCACTGTTTTCACAGATATATTTTTTTAGTCAATAAGAGAGAGGCAAATCTTTTGTATGCAAATTTTCCTGCGACACAAATGAACTTCTTAGACGGAAGAAATTACTGCCATTTTTTGCTTTGATGAGGGACTGCACGTGCGCGCTTCTACTTTTATCTCTGTACTGTGATAATCATATATTCTTCTCTTCTGTTATTTCAAGCGATTACTGATAAATTATTTGTGTCAAATTTCTTTGATATATAGCACTATAAGAAATTCTATCAGCTATTGTAATATTATCAGTGACAGTTACGGTAGATTATAATAGTATCTTTGGTACAAATGGCATTCTTCTAGCAGGTTTTTTTTAAATCAAATTGACGTATGTTAAGAACGAGTTCTAGAAGCGTTATGTTATCAGGTTATTAAGATAGCAGTTATATCCATATTGTACAATGATGCTCAGTTCAATGTTTAGGCAAAGAGGTCATTGGCACGGCAGGAGGCAGCAACGAATGGATTTTATCACTGATACATACCGATCATTCATTTGTAACGTTTTCACTAGTTATCTCCTTAGATAACTCTCGGATACTAATCCCATGACATGAATTGTTTCAGAGCGCTATAACTTCTGCTTTAATAGAGAGATAATGACATTGAAGGGGACAACTGTAGTTCATTAAGATTTCTCTAAAGTTAAAGAGTTAAAATTCATTTGCCAGAAAAAAATTCTTATGACATCTCCTCTAAAAATGGCATGCGAACAAAGTTACGGTATCACTTCCTAGCTTCGTATTCATGTGGATCAGTGGACCATGATATTTGTAACGCATTGAGCAAGTTAAGCTCGTGACCTTTTCCATTTGTTTTTCTATCGACTTTCTGATTTTACTTGAAATTCGTTCAGAAATTAATATTTATATCCTTATTGGGGTATCAGTTATTTAGTGGTTATGTATGAAATGCATGAAAAGGTTGATCTGAGCCTTCCATTTCTGTCGAAACTATCGATTAGAAAAAAGGTTTGTATGATATAAATTCCAATAGAGTTAGACGAATTTTGCTATGATTCACAAAACGCATTGTTTCATGTTTGTGTATGTCCAAGATCGATCGCATCCGAAGCTATGTTTGTATTTTTCTGGAAATTTAGTCAATTTTGTTTGATGGAAGCTCTTAAGATATGTATAGATGATTAAGAGAAACGTCAAAGGAGGATGACTAAGCCATTCTCGAATGACGATAATGATAACGAAAACATTAGTTCAAGTATTAAACGGATGCTTATTTGTGATGTGTTTTATAACTTAAACGATTGACTCTCTCAATTTTCCTCTCCCTTATTGTCATCACTGTCACTACTTCCGTATAGGTAGAAAGTATGATAGCTTCACAACTTATATCTTCTCAGCAGAAATTACCAAAGATCATTGAAAGGAGTATACTTGCAAGTATATGTATGTATATACATTTGTGCTTGCGTGGCGACAAGTATTACAGCGCATTGAATGGCAATGCCTTCAGATAACCATCCGGGATGAGCGAGCCACTTTGATGATGTTTCTCCTCCCCCTCCATCCGCTCTCCCTCTTCCTGTTTCTTATTCAGGATAATTAATTTTGATAGATGGTGACCACTTCCAGGTGCTTCGGTGTTTGCAAGCTGAAGATTTCTTACATATCCTGATTACTGTTCTTTTCTTCCACATCTATGTTGCATTCATTTTTCGTTCATTTTCCACTCAATTAGTTCTTGTTCTATTGCGCATGGTGCTTTCTTACTCTTCCTGGATTATTGACTACGTGCAACCGAAGCAGTCAGTCTCTTCTTTATTTATTTAGACCACCGCTTTTAAAATTTACATATTAGCGATTTGGGATGACTCGTACATGTACCCGTTTAGTAACAATTATTATTCCATATTCTTGTCGAGTGCTCTCACATTCTGTTACTTATATTGTAGTCATATTTTGCTTCCACTTTTACTTTAATCTCGAACATACTTTTTAACGTTTATAAAGTAACTCGTCATTCTTGATAGCTTTATATCCTCATGAAATCTGTTAACTAGGAAATGAAGCGACCAGCCAGCTCAGACTTAGGCATGAAATGGGGAAAATTATTCTAAAAGGTAGACTCCAATATCCTTCAGACACGTGTTAAAATTGGTATAGTATATGATTATCACAAATTGTTTGTCGTGAATCTTCCGATAAATAATTAATCACCAGTCAGCCGTATCATTTAGAAACGAAAAATAGGGTATGCTTGAGTAACACTCGTCCTACTTAAACTTGTCTACTTAAACTTTTTCATTTTATTTCGACGAAAACCATACGATGTCCAATACTACAAATAGTTTCGCACACGAACTGTTGATACATATGTCATCTGCGTACGTTCCTGTCCTTTTAAATAGATTTGTAATAATAAAGCTGTATTTCAGATTAAATGTCAGATAGTGAGCAATTAGTCCAAATCCCTAACGATGAAATTCCTAACGAGACAGCGGATCCAGCATCAATACATTACACGCATGAGCCGGCAACCATTGCAGATGATGATGTGACGATCCACAGTGATTCCAATCCCAATGTCTTCACCATATCATCGCCGTACCAACCAATATATCTGTCATCAGTTATCACGACAGCAGAATTGGACAAAACACTGCCATACTTGACGGCTGTCACTGAACTGTATGGCAACGATGCACAAGGAACGAAGTACCATGAAGACGACAAACAAACTCACGACGGTCGTATCAACCGATTCGACAACAGCATATCGAAATATCACCGACGACACCGTCAACGTTTCTCCATGTTACGAACACAACACGTAATGTCTCTGCTCTTTCTTCCTCCGTTCTTCTACTCTCCTCCTACTCTTAACTATACACAGATCTATACATTCATCCATAGAGACACGTATATCGACAAACACCACATCATTGGCGAATGCACACATATACCACATACACAAACAGATAGATGGATACACACACACACACACACACATACACACAGTTATATGACAATCAGGGATAGGTAGAGAGGGTAAGGGGAGCGAGTATTTGACGCGTTCTCTAGAACGCATCACTACACTCTACACAGTGTTTGCGATTTCTTTAGTGCTTGAATCCAGAGAAGTTGACGTTGTAAGACGGATTATCTCCAATTGTGTAGTTTGGATAGAAGGATAAGTAGGAAGGAAGAGAGCGTATGATTGGATAGGCTAAGTACGTGAATAAGGACGTTATCGCTAGGATATGATTTGTGTTGAAAATAGATCAGTTACGAATAACCCTGAGTACAAGGCCTTGTCTTATTTATTAGGAATTTTGTGCCATTTGATTGACGACTCACAGATTCGTTAAGGATTAACTCACAAACAACATATTATTGTCTACCGGATTTGTGATCAGTTGATTTTAATGGTATTGATTATAAATGACTGTGATAACTGTAATATCAAAGTTTGCTGAAGCTGTCTACGACTTTAGAGAATCCTGGTGGTGACATATAAGCTTGCTTATGGTGATCCTCGAAAGCATTTGAGGTCAGATTGAGGAAAAGAAGGAAGGATGATTTGTGGACGCTGCCATTTTGTATAGCTTGCATTTTAGAATTCAATTTCGCCTAATGCAGTGTTATTCCAGAATCATTTCATATGTGTTTATGAAAAAAGACTGGCCTTCATGATTCATCCCAGCATTTGTTTTTTGCCACATACTTCTTAAGTTTCGGGTTGAATGGTTGAAACTTTATTTTTCGCAGGGAGGGCAGTTACAGAAGTTAACCGGCTAGTCAGCCGCGCGAGATTTGCCCAACTGTTCTTCGCGCCTTTCTCGACTCTAAAGGAACTTCATAAAAAATCACTCTGCGATTTGAAATCCATTTTTTCTTCTCGAGGAAATGGGAAGTTGGTCAAGAGGGAATATGGATGGTTGGGTGTAGTTATTCGTAATGTTACTGATTGAGGAACCTCACCGTGGGATAGTGGTGTAAATGAAACTTATAGTGCTTTTCGAAATTCATATTCCGCATCATCAGCCGGAGGTGTATAACAATATATATCCTATCATTATTCCCTTTGTTGTATTGCTATTTATATTTTCCTTCTCAGTAATACAGCTTTATCGAACCAAAAATAAGCCTATCGATAAAATCGTTACATTACTGTGGTGGCCCGTACGTGGGATAATACATAGGCGATAGATGAATGTGATTAACATCGTATCGGAAGCACGGATCGCTAAATGGATCAGTGAAGGGTATTTTAAGTAACGTATGTAACTCAGTAGACTGCTCTACTTTAGGTAATTTATCACTTGCATCTTGTAATTCGTTGCATGCAGCTAATCCAGTCGTCTATTGTCGTCTATTTCGTATAACTCCACGGTAACCTAGTCCGACTTACAATGGTAATTGTTATTCATATATGCATTACTGATTAATGCGCGACCCCAACAGTTCGATAAATTCCATTAACTTTAACAACAGAATGAATAAGGGATCTGACAGTTGTACGTAGGAAAGCTTGTCTGATATATGAAGCGGTATATTTAGCTAGTCGTGGATGTTTTTGTTAATTAGTCTAGGATTTTTTGTACACAAACGTATCCAGAGTTTGGACAGTACATTTCGATTTATGTGTAATAGTTGTTGTTGCTCTTTTCGCTGAGCTAGGTGATGAGGAATTTATTTCAGAGTGAAGAATTGAGGCCTTCGTCCTCATCTACGGGCACTGTGGAGCGTGGTGTGGAATACTCGCTGGCTGACGCCGCAGACCAAGGTCCACCTGCGAAGAAACCCAGGAAAAATATTTTTTCTGAAGCTCATTTATTAATCTTATCAGTTATTAAGTTAGGATGTTCTATTTTATGTTAAGGAATCGTATTTTATCACTGAGCCCATAAACCTCAACTTCTAATCGAGAAGGGGAGGGATAGAGAGAGAGGTTATAATTTAATGGAAGATGAGTCGCATTCGTTTCTTTCAGGAGCATGCAATCAGCAGGAGTTCAGACACAGCAGCAATCACCTCCAAAATCTGTTGGTCAACGCATAAAAGTATGATTTCTTCGTTTTTTTTTTCATGTTGGTAAAGATTAATTCGAAACACATTTGTCTAAGAAAATAATTCATTAAAAGAAATGAAAATTGCTCACTTATAATTATCGTTATCTCCATTTCTCATCTTGTAATGTTTGTACTTTAAGGAAACCTTGCAAACATCGAAAAGTCAATTATGTCGATCTCCAAATGTCGCTGATACGAGTCTTGTTTCGGCCCCGATTTCAACTCCCCCGCTTGGTGCCGCAGAAGTTAATACAATTCGTATCATCGGCCAGTATCTCAAAAATCTTGGATTACAGTATGTGATCAAATATGCATTTAATTTCAGTCATGTAACCAGATTTTTGGTATTTTTTATTTGTTGCTGAATTTTACTGGCAAATTCGTGTTTTCAGGGAAACCGTAGCGACACTGTTTGCAGAAAGTGGTTGTCGTCTTGAAGATACTCTAGCAGTACGTTTACGTGAATATATCATGGCAGGTGAATGGGATCATGCCCTTGGTATTGTGGATAAAATGTCACCGTTTGTTGCCAATCTGAATTTATTGCGCATTCGTGAGAAATTGTACGAAGAAAAATTCGTTGATTTGTTAGGCAAAGAAAGGGTAATATTTTATATGCATTCCATGAATGAGAAGTTTGCGTTTAATCACTTTCTAACAAAGTAGACACTGAGAAATTACTTTATATTGTGATGAATTATATGTCTAGAACGGATCTCTTTAATGCTTCAACGTTCGAATAACTCAAGGGTTTGCTTAATTTCAGCTGAGAAATAATTTTCAGGTTTTGGAAGCGCTCAGTTTGTTGACAGTAGATTTTCCATCAGATCCTGCATTTTTTGATCGTCGAAATTTTCTTGCAACACTGCTATATGTTGATCCAAAGGTATATCTGATTTGGTGAATTATTTAAATAGTTCAATGTTTTGTGACAACCTCACAATTAATTGTTTCTCTTTAAAATGTTATTTCTCTTCTCTGCTTACCTAAATACATTTTTTATTGGGTCAATGTTCAGAAATTCCGTCTTTCCAAATTACGTCACATTTAGTTTTTCAACGATTAGTGCAAATACAGGATTGGGAGTATGTTTCTTTCATTAAGCATCTGCCGTACAGCAGTTATTTATTGGCTAATAATGATTTAGAGTGTAGATGTATGTGCGAAAACGGGAGCACATCGTACTGAACGAGAAAGAAACGTATTGGTAGCTGAAATCCAACAGTTGCTACCCACAACAGTCATGCTGCCTTGTAATAGGCTGGAGAAACTGCTTATGCAGTGTAAATATGCCCATTCTTTTTTATTTCTAGCTGTTGAATTTGTTGTCTTTGACCACATTTAGAATTGAGTGTATGCCATATGAAAATTTATAACTATACTGGTTTTTTTCACTTTAGTTTTCTATTCTACTGTATTTTACTATTTTAATCAACTCAGTGTAGTTTTTTTCGAATGTATTTATGGTAAAGATATTTTTCAAATTTTTGCCAAATGTTGCAGCCTGGAAGATGCAGTGTCGCGAATGTTATCTCCATGTTAGGGAAGATTTCGATGTCTCCCCGGATTATATTTTGGAAGACCATCAGTGTGACTGGGATCATTTCCCTATGTTTACTTCGCAAGTACAGCCTTTCTTATTACACTGGATTTCTTTTTCAAGAGATTTTCCAGATTTTTCCTCTGTTGATCATAAAATTTTCTTTGGCACATATATCTGAATCACCGTCAATAACTCTGTAGTATTTTTCACTCTAACTTATTGTTAATACTTTTTTAGGTCTTAACGAAACATACAGATGAGGTTTGGTGTGCGGCGTTTTCACGTTGTGGAAAATATTTAGCAACAGGTAGCAGGTCCGGAGCAGCGCACATATGGAAAGTAATCAATGAAGTTACCGTTGAACCATATAAAGAACTTACTGGTATGATGGTATCTCTGTTTATCTTCGCAAAGTTTTCTATGAAATCTTATGGTGGATAATATACTGTTTAACAAAATTCTGTAAACATTAAAATGTGAGGGAAGGCGTTTTCTATGATCTTATATTTATATGGATTATTAAATTTTCTTTTTCCATACACCCATTATTTAACTATTTTTTTAGAACTGTTTTTTACAAGTTCAGGAAGAAACAGTTCGTCTTTGTTAACTTGGAGTGACGATGGTGCCCTTCTAGCAGTAAGCGCTGCAGAGGGCCACCTAGCGGATGTTCACGTTTATGATGTTCATAGCGGCAGCACATTTTGTATTATCGAAAACAGAGCAAACGATAGCACTGTTATGTCGTTTGTTCCGAACTCATCGTTCAGTTATAAACTTGTTTGTGCTGATCAAATGGGACATTTTTGTTTATATGTATGTTTTTATAGTTTGTTCACGGTTGGATATTGTTTCGGAATATCTAATTTTTAATTTCTAATAAAAAATCAAAGTTTTGATCAAGGGAAGATTGCTGTTTATTTTTTCTACCGTTGTCTTACATCTTGCAAATATGGCCCAAAATTAACAACTAGAGGGAATGATTTAAAAATTGTAGATATTTCATATTCAGACTTTATCGAAAAACAGTGTGAAATCTGAGGGCAAATTCGAGGGTTACAGGATCCGTGCTGTTCACTGTCTCAGGAATGGATCAGTTTTAGCAGCAGATACTCACAACAGGTTTTTTTAGCAGTAAAATTTTTGCATGATTTAACTTCCATTCGTAATTCTTTTTAATACCTTAAGAATTTTACTTCAAGCATCTTTCAATTTTCAGAATTCGTAGTTATCGATTTAGCGACGATTCTGAAGTAACACTTATTGAAGAACTAAGTCAGATTTCAACATTTGTGGTGGAAAAATCGGAACGGCGCATTTTAATTGATACTAAACTTCATGGTTTGAGATTATGGGACTTAAGAACACGAACTTTAATCAAGTCTTTCATTGGTGCTCCACATCAGGATTTTATTATTCATTCGACTTTTGGTGGTCCCGAGCAGTCCTATATTGCCACCGGTTCCACAGGTTTCATTTCTTTCTTTGATAATTTCCTTCTGTAGTAACTTCCCTAAAAATTTGACAGTTGTGGGATTAGTTTTTATATAGCAATTTCATTTATATTTGAATTAGCGTAACGACAAGTTTTGAAAGCTCTACAAATAGCGATTTTTCTTCAATGAGTAAAAAGAGAATTATCCAAATATTTAGTTTCTTCAAGAGCTGTGATCTTATCAAAAAAGCTTCGGGGCCTTTAATTTTTGTCTTGTAATTTTAACAGATTTTGAATTGAAAAACTTATATTTGCAGATGAATGTATATATGTTTGGAAACAGAGTTCCGAGGAATTGATAGCAAAATTAGCTGGGCATACTGCACGTGTGAATGCTGTGGTGTGGAATCCTAGATTACCGCAGTTGGTTTCCTGCTCTGATGATTGTACAATTCGTATTTGGAGTCCGCTTGTCGGCATTGATTCATCCACTATTCAGCAGAATTGATACGATATTTCATTATATTATTAGGTTCGCTTTTGTTTATTTAATTTCATTAAGCATTGCCTATTTGAACGTGAAATTGTAAGCAAGCAGATTATAACAATTCATGTAAAACAATCGTTTTATGATCATGTTTGTTTCTTTTTTTTGTTTTTGAAAACTCGTGTTTTATCTTCTCTCTACTGCAAATTACCTCAATTTAGCCCATGATCGTTTACATCATTCGGCTTGTTTAACACTCCCCTGTTTGCCTCGGAACTTCAGGCACTAACCAATCAGTAATTTGTGCCATTGTTATTGTTAAATGCCGTTAGGATCCCCTGTCATTTGTTCAGGCACCCCTCAGTATATTTCTTTGTGTACTAATGGAAATCGATGATTGTATTGTCTTCATGTATAATTTTTTAAATAGATGTTTTATGTGCAACACTGGTTTCTATACCATTGCCATCTCCAAGCAACTTTAAAATTGTCAAGGCAACCTGTTATGAGTCCAACACGTGCCGATAGGTTACTTCTTACCTGATTCAATTTGGTTTCTAATTTTAAGTTTTTGTCAAAGAGTGACGGTTATATCTTCACTGATAATTGCATAGTACTGAAAATTTTCGTAGCGTTTGTGAATGCCTTGAATAAGAGACACATAGAAACGGGTCACCACCTTGTGATCGAGTGATTGAATCTTGGTTTCTAAGATTGTCTCATTGTGTATTGTCTGTCGAATATATATATATATATATACATATACAAACGATTGTGTCTTTAAAACACTGTTATATGTTTTATCGTTTTTTTGAAATTTTATTCGATTTTATTGTAATGATTTTCTACCAGTCAACAATGAATTTATGTTTTGTGGTAACTGCGAAAAGGTGGAAATAAGTTTATTACTTTGTTTAGTACAAAAAATGAAAATTGAATTGATAAGCGTTGTTAAAGCGACGGTTGGTGTGGTATTTCAACGTAGGTCGGCATGGAGTATACTGTGTATCCATCTTCGATACGGTGGTACTTGATTGTTGATGCGTCATCAAGGCTTTGGACTATAAAAAATATATTCTATATAGTATTCACCAACATTTGTAGTTGAGTTTGGCAGGGCTGTCTTAAAAACTCGTTAGTTGTTACGAACCTCCGAATGTTATGTCCTGTATTCCAATCGGGATGTCTGTTTTTTCCATTATCTTCTCTTTCAATGTTTTGATGGTGTCCATTGGCGAAATTTTAACTTCGATTTTTTGCCCGGCGAAGTTTCGTGTCTTATTATAGACAATCACATTGAGATGCCTGAAATTTCTTTAATAGTTTTAAAAGATATTCTGAAAACCGGAGAAGTAATTACTTTTTGTTGATTTTACTGAAATTGAGCAAAGGTCCAAAAACGAAAGATTAAGTAGAACATTAGTATTAATTTTAGAAATGAATTGGCTAGTATACCTTTAACTTTTCTGAATATGAAAACGATGAAATTAAACTTTCACAAATAATCGTAAAAGCGAATGAGCAAGCCATTCTTTGGTTTCGTTATGAAATTACGTAGTAAAGAGGTTAAACTCTGGTTTACAGAGATTATTGGAACGTCAGAACTGCCTGAACATTCAGTGTAATGCTCTAGTAAGGTTTTGGATGTTAGCTGCTTAATCGCTCAATTATGAATACTACCTGTGTATTTGAGATAAACGACAAATTGAAATTGTTAGTAACTTACATGCTGTGCTGCAAATAACAATAAAGGAAGAAGTAATGCAAAAGTGAGGAGGGAAATGAGCACAAATTGGCTGAAATGATTGCCTTACATTAATCCACAGCCTCTTTCTCTTCGTTTTACCGTTAACGAAAGCTTATTTTAAATGAATCGAACGGAGGAGTGAAGTCGGATAATTTGAAATGATTGAATTTGCCTTTTCATCTCCTTACCATTATCACCGTCCGCCCATTTCTTTCAATTGCTTTTTTCTTACGAATAAATTAAGGATGAATTTACATCCCGGATGGTAAGCGTATATAATCAATCAGTCCATCTTTCCGTTCATATTCTGTAATACACCTTCGAATCAGTCATTCGATTACTTATTTTAATCAAAATTAGTTTCATTTATTCACTTGAAAATTGTTATATACAAATATATGCCTTTTTTCGATTTCCAATTGCGATTTTTAAATTTCAACCTGATTCATATTAAATTCAGTTGAAATCATATAGTGATTCTTTCTGACCTAATGACTAATAATTTTGTATTAAATATAGTAAAATTCAGTTTTCAATTTTTCAAGCATCGATGAAAATAATTTATTCTTATTTTCCTCCATTGAAAAATTTTTAAAAAGCAATTTTTTCAAATATTTGAAAATATTTTTTGGAAAATCTCCGATACAGAACAATAAATATTAAAAATGATAAGCAATGAATCGATTTGATCCAAAGTCTAGCAGTTATCATTCATTACAAGAAATATTTATTCACAATGTTCCATAACAGTATCAGTAATGATATCCTTCGAAGTGTCGTATTTCAGAATGTGCCAAATTAGTAGTACCTTCAATTTGTTCATACATATCATTTGTGAATTTTTTCGTCTCTGCTGGTTCTTTTATGATCTGAAATTTCATTATTCGAAGAAATCAATATCAATGGAATTTACATCAACAAAATGAAATTATCAGAATTTCCTGATACATGTCAATTGCAGTATTTTCATTAATCTTGAACGTTTAAACAAACTGTTAGTTAACTTGTGATAGGTTAAGAAGATTAGAATATATAATCAGTTAAATCGCCATGATTTTAGGAGATCATTTATGATAACAAATACAAGTAAAGAAAAAATGGTTTGTATACGTTGTTGATTTTGTTTATTTCTGCTGGATTACGCAAAAATAACATGAGAGGAGCATATAAGAAATTTATCGCTGCAATTATACGAAGCATTCTGAAAATTATTGTAACTTCAAAGTTATGATATCACTTCAATAAATTTTTCTTTGATTGAAATGAAATTAATTATGATATTTCAATTATAAACAAAATTAATGAAATGTTTAATTTTACATATATTGTGTATACAAAATTTTCCTCAAATTTTTTGTTAATATTTAACAAAAAAGTAATTTCTTTTTTTTTATAATTAGAATTCGCTTTTCTATTGTTTTAACTTGCCGAAGCAAATGAGTGTGTTTGCAATTAATTGTAAATGTTAATTAAGAAACTTACGAAGCAAATCCGACGGAACGAACTAGAGGACCGGAAAAAAAAGGACCCAAAGCAAAAGCAAAACAAAATGCTGCATCTGCAATTGCATATATTGATCCGTAAACACCGACATGACGTATATCCACCAGATGACCCATTAAGGGAAACATCGACGCATCAATCATACCTTGAATACATCTCCTCAACTTCAATAATTTGTGAGCATCTTCATATTATTGGTGTAAAATGCATGTTCTACTACATGTGTCTAATTAAGTGACACCTTTGTCTTACCAATCGAGAAGCCCATTAAAAAATTTGGTACTATCAATCCTTCAACTCCTTCAGCTGTCGGAATCTAAAATTATTGCAATCATAATTAAAAATCACAATGTCACAACATTTTAAATGTGATAATAATAAGTACAAAAATGTTTCGAAATCTATTAATTAGAAATCTGCCATTTTTAAAACCACAGTTTAAGCTGCAAACTATTGCCAAATGAACGTCATATTTTTTTCCTATCTTTCCACTCCTGCTAGGATATTATTCCAGAAAAATTCTCTATCTATTGTTTTTTCTTAATAGAGCAAAAGAAAAATTTTCCTGAATAATATAATTAAGCAACTTACAATGATTAAGCAAACGCCGATTATTATGAGACCCAAAAAACTGCTCAGCCAGCTGAAAATTAAAAACTTTTTTGGTAATTTGCAGAAATTTTAAGAAAATGCATGTTTAAATAGAAAAATTCGAAATATGACAAATTATTTTAAAATAAAAACAAACCGTCCGATTTTATGTGCCAATGGTCCAAATATATTTGTACCAATCAGGTAAGACATACTAGCTGGAAGAAAAGCGATACCACGTTCAAATGAACTAGCTTGCCAAGATTCCATCATCCATAATGGTAATGATGGTTCCAGCATTGCTATTCCAAGATTTCCGATTGTTATTGATCCTGAAAACTAGTGAAAATATTTCATAAAAACGTAAGAAAAAAAGAAAAGCTTATTAAAATATATTAAACATCAATGAGAAGTAGTGCTTCGAAATATTTCGCAATCATTTGTTCAGCAAAAAATTCAATATCAACTGATGAAAATCAAAAAAAAAACGGAAATAACAACCGGCAGCGACAATGATATATGGATCAGTGGCAAGTTCTTTTAAACCAGTTCCTTCTGGTTCACATCGATCTATTCGCGGTTGTAGCACCAAAAATTGCAGAGCTACAACGATGCTAGTTTAGCTCTTCGAATTTTAAATAATTTATTTATGTAAATTTTAGCTCTTCAGATTTAAATAATTTCTTCTTTATTTTTTTTCTTTTCTTTATTAGAGCTTATTCCGTTAATTCTGTCTCTAAAAATTCGCAAATTTTTAAAGTTATTTTTCAAAAATTGTTTTTCTACTGTTATTAGCTTGTTTAGGAGCTATTTACTTAAGTGGTTTATTTCAGCTTTTCTGAAAAGATAATACTTACAACCGTCAAATAGAGCTAATAGTGCAAGAAGTAAGAATGGCAACTCTTTGCCTGACCACTGATATAGAACTCCTCCATACGGTGGTCCAATAAGTAGGCCAAGTGCTAGGCCACCCAATGCTATACCCATAGCACTACCACGTTCTTCATCGTTCGGATAAGCTTGTGCAAGCATTCCCATACCTGTTAACCACAAACTAGAGATATTCACGATGAAAAATGCTTTTTTTTCTCCCTTCTTATGAACATGATCATTATCCAAACAACTCTCGAATATCATATTTTCTTCCGGTATATTACAATCGCAATAAAAAATTCTTTACCATATCGAATATAACTTTGTGCAAACCTGAAGTACTTGTACACGCAGATCCAACACCTTGTAAAGCTCGAGCGAACCAAAGTACAGCAAACGATGTACCAAATGTAAACATTAAAGTTGACAAAAACATAACGCAGAAGCCAGTAAACATTGGAACTGTGTAACCAATTCTACAATTTAATAAATGGAAAATAATATTCAAGAAAACTTAAGAAAGTATAAGTTTCTTTCTTTTTCCAGAATTTTGAGTTATAGTTGCAGTTTGTTAATTTCTTGATAAAGGATACAAATGAATATGTCGAAAATTTCATGTACTTATGATAAGAAATATTGTTTAAAAATTAGCTTATTGGTAAGAGGACCAATCCATGGATTTGTTAGCAATTGTACAAGCGCTTTTGATCCAAACATCAATCCAACGTAAACATTTTCTTCAGTTAAAGTATTATGACGTTTCATTTCTTCCGCAGCATTCGGTATAACTCTTTGATCCATTTTACTATTTTTATTTGTAATGGATGTTTCCGTTGCTGTCATTTTCATGCGTATAGTAGTTGTTCGAGAAGTTTTACCTATCAGAAATTTATGTGTTATAATAAAATTTAAATTTACCAACAAATTCCTAATTGAGCAAAAATTATGATTTTATTTCGTATTTTTCTGATGCATTCTTAAATTTCTCAAAAATTCTTTTAATTATCTAACCCTTTGAAGATGGTTTTTTCTTCAAATTTTTGCTTTTACGAAATGGATTCAGTGGACCTTTCCGCCATTCCGTTGCTGCATGCAAATCCATTGGAATTTCCCAAGCATCATCCCAAATGAACGGTTCTTGTTCATTTTCATTTTCCTCTCTCTTTTCCATAAAGGTAGCACGTTTGACTCGTGATTGTTCTGATACCGATATTTTATCATACAACAATAAATCTGTGAAATTTGGATGTGATAGTCGTAGAAGATATTCCGGTACTATTGGTACTGCAATGAAAAAAAAAACTTCATAAAATTATAGAAATTAAAAATAAAATTTTGTTTTTTTTCTAGAATAGAGATAAAAATAATTTATCATAATCAATAAGATAACAAAAATCTTGCTTAAAATCATTCCACAAACTTTTAATTATTTCTCGAAAGTTCTATATCTATTTGTGGGAATGAATTTTTTGCTTGAAATGATAAGAACATACCAACGGTAGTCAAAAGCATATTATCCAAAAATAAAGCAATATACACAATGAATAATAGCATCTTTCGATTGTGTCGATATTTGTTAATTAATTCAGTAAGCGCTGTTGCCATATTAATGCCAATCTTTGTGATAACAATTTTCTTCTATTCCAAAATTCTATTACAATTATTAATTGTTCAAATATAAACGTATCATACAGTGTACTCAACGATAACTCAACAAGATGTTATTTCAGAATAAGAGTTATTTTTTTAAATTGAATAAACCAACAATTTTTTTTATATGTTAATTAAGTTATCCGTATTTGTTCATGCAAAAGAAATATAGCTAAATCAAATTAAAAGCAAATTTGAACTTGCAAAGGATAAATCGAAGAAAAAAAATACATCTATAAAGGTTAATAATTATGAAACAATGAGGATAGCAAATAAAGGTAGCATTTGATAATGGTAACTCAATTGGGCAGCTTATGAAAAAATATAATTAAAGCAAAAAAAGTTGAATTTTTTTAGGGTATTGGTCAAATTACAATGTATTAGAATTATGCTAACATCTTCGACAATAACACAACGAAATATCTTTTTTTAAAAAAACATATATCCATTGATGGTATTGCAACAGTGTATTTATTTTAAGCAATATTTAAATTTAAATTTCAGATGTTTAAATGCGTTGATTGGAAAATAGGAATAATATAAAATTTCATTCAATCTCAGGGTTTCAGGATGAAGCCCCTTTTAAGATCTTTATCCTGAAATTTTAGAATTAAATGGGATTTTTGGGAAAGGAGCAAACCCCTTTTTTTCTTCTTTAATCTTAAACAGTAATTTAAACTTTTTTGAAATGAAACCACAAATAGGATCAGTTTTAATGGACTAGCAACAATAGTATGTTTAAGATTTCTTTCAGAAAAAATTCAAATAAAAGAAGTAGTTTACATGAATAACAATTATACCCAATAAATTACTCAGAGCGATGTAAGCTGGCAATCATTATTTTCCTTACTTGAAATTACTCTTGCAGTTTTGCTTTAGTCGAGAAATAACATTCGTATGAATAACCATTTTAAAATTTCGACTGCCATTATAATATACATAATAGCAATAATCTTTATATTCATATTTGATGCAAGAACGCAGATATTTACTAATTACCAAAATATCAGGTACTAAGTAGTGGATATATTGATAAGCATCTATTAGCTATAGATTCTAAATGGTATTCAAGATTATCTGATTATGGTATTAGCAAAAAACCAGAAACTTGTTCATTTGATTGGTGTATGGCGTAAATTTAATCCATAATTAATCTATTCGTATTTTAAACATCATTTTATACTATCCATTTAATATAAAAATAATGAAAAGAAAGAGAGAAGGAGAAGGAAAAAATAAATTTGAAATATTCATTAAAATGAGAGAAGCAAAACAACTTGCTAAATTTGCAAGAGTGAAAATATAGCCTGGGGCGGTATATGACATTTTTTTTTTTGAATCACCATCCTAAAGCTGCTAATCTTATTTAAACTATCCATTTCATTTGAGAAAAAGAGACAGAACAGGAGTGGGAAAAAACAAACTTAAAATATTCATAAAAAGATTTTACAACAAAGGGCATAACTTTGCTAACATCATGATTATATTCTGTTGGATTAATCAATTTCTTTTTTTTTGGGACACTTTCTTCTCGAGTTAGATATATTTATTCATATGTTGAAAAACTGAGTAATCCATTATCCTAGTCTGAAATACAATTTCCTGGAGAATAGATTAACAAAGTAAATTATCTATGCTATTCTAATGAACTATCATCCTGATATATAACAAAAAAAAAGGACCAGTTTGTTGCAATGAATCACAAAGTTGAGATTAGAAAAGTAGGAATTTCTAAATTATGAACTTCCCAAGGATATCTGTCATCTTCTTCTTCAAATAATATTTAGCTAAAAAAAAACTATATGAAATGTTCAATTATTGTTTTTAAAAATTTTGCATAAATAAAATAGCTGGCTTTGAAGTAAGATGAAAGATATAGAACAGTGAGATTAATTAGATTTGATAGCGGTTAAGCTTAGAAGACAAAATGATAATGCCAAGATACGATGAAAGGGAAATAATATCGCGTAAGACAAATCACACACATCCTTCTCCAGTCAAAAATAAATGCTTTATTTAAGCCATTGAAAGTTATCCGCGAAGTGATTCGGTGAGAGTGAGGTAGGAAAATGAATTATCGAAGAGATTTTCAGAAATTTTTGACTGCAAATGACACTTCACAGAAAAGAACCATTAAAAAGCTTATTATTATGAAGAGGACATTGAAATGCTCCATTTTTACGCTATATTTGAATAAACAAAAATAAAAGTGACAGCTGCAAAAAGTTTTAGATTTGAAAAAAAAAAATAAAGAAATTAATGCTCATTAAAATTTGCAGAAATCATTTTATTACTTTCTTTTATGAATGCACAATACAATAAATACATTATTAGCATATCTTCAAAAATGAAATTTGTACTATTGCCTGTAATTTCTTCAAACATTCTCATATCACATCAACTTCTATCATCTTTTGAAATGGCAATATTTTGGATGAAGTTGAAATACTTCTTTTAAGAATTAAATCGTATAGGATAAATATCAGACAAATATCGTATGATATTTATGCAATTCATATAAATTAAACATTTTTAATAAAATTTCATGATTTGCTTCGCATACTGCAATAGTTCAAACTTGAAATTCAACATTTTTCTTTGTTGTATCTTTTGAATGCAAAACGTTGAAAAACGATGAAAAAAATTGGATCGCATATTCAACCTTACAAACGACAACAACAGCTGCATGAAGTAGTAGAAAATGAATGTTGAATTCAAAAATTGGACAATTTATAATTATGCGAGTGGGAAAATGCAATCAAAGTGTCTCTTTTCATCAGAATTATCAAGTATAATAAATGGTATATAGCACGGAAGTCTGTCAACAACCTAAATAAACCAATATGTCGTCGCTACTGGGAAATCTATCTGAAAAAAAGGATGAAAGGATTTCATCATTTGGAACTATAGCTCTTTCTTACTCAACTAGGCTCTTTTTTTTCTTTAACTCTATCAGAGCTGTTAGATATTTTTGGATGCATAATGATTGTAATCAGATATGCAACGCAATAAATAATAATGTTTGATCAACCAAATGATAAGCTAATTGTAAAAACATCTGAATAGATCAAAATGAAAATGATATCATGATAGAGTTCAATGCAAATCATAATCATTTTCAATTTAAAGTTAATTGCAGCACTGTTTAAAAATAGCAATAATTATTATTATTAATATCAATAATTAATAATGATAATAAATAAACAGTAGTATATGCGGTGCAGTAGAATTTTCAATTTATATAAAAATTTTATTTAAAATAGATTTTGAAAGATATATGATGAAATGACGAAAAAGATAGCGATTATTACGAAATGAGATTATTCCGTTCTTGGTAATTATCAATTAAAAATTTTAGATAAGAATAATCAATAAATTATATTTCTCATTGAATCATTTTTAATTCAGAAAACTATTGAAACATTTTGATGCGAAGTGTTATTATAGAGAAGTTATTACATAAACGATATAAGATATGCAATAATGAAGTGTTTCATAACATTTTAAAATGGCATCAATTACATGCATAGTTATTTCATAATTTAGTTATCAGAAAATTTTTTCCTTCGCTAAATTGGAATGAAAAGAAAAGGAAATGTTTTTTAATTTAGGTTAGCAATTTTGAGAAATTCTAAGTTTGTAATTAATATTTTAGTTAATAGCCCACAGGTCATGCTTATAATTAGACTATTCATTTAATTTTCTATTCAATGCTTATATTGAAATCTTACTTTGCAATAATTGAACTACTAATTTAATTTTCCATTTTATACTTTTTTTTTCGAAATTTTGCTTTTTATATATTTTCACAAATATTATAATAAATAATTCAATTATTAATATCATTTTATACTTCATGTTTGCTTTAAAATTTTTATCTTTCGCAAGTTTTTACAACTATCTTTTGACTTTAAATTTATTTAATATTTTATTTAAAACAATGCCATCATAATAATCTGCAAAATTACATCAAAGCATAATTTGTTGATATTATTAAAATGATCAAAAGTTACTATTACAAAACAAAAAGAAAAGAATCAAAGATGTTCTGTATTGAAAGAGTACTGTTCTCAGCAGAGTACTGTAAGCGGGCAGTACTATTTAACAAAGAATAAAAAAAATAGCTGCATCAAAAAATTACGAAATGAACTCGATAGTGTGGTTATCATTCATTTATAGGGAAATTTTCGAAGATGTCAAAATGGTTAGGATTCTTTGTCACTTTTTAAAGTAATACTCAAGATTGACTACTACTGTAATAACTATTACAGTATAGATTCGGCATGATTCATAGATCCTTTCAAAAGTGAATTTCATAACGTAACGTAGGAGTTCTTCGTACAAGTGTTGAACAGACCGGGTTGCTCGAAGTAGCGTACCATATGTTCACTACGATGGCTCCATAACTACATGGTCTGAATATCGTATGGAACTAGGGGGTGGGTAGCTCATTTTCATATCTGATTTTGTTGTATTTAGGAGGACTGTTCTGGATCTTTGTTTGTTTTTAAGCTTTTTTCGAATAGTTCATTATGGCTGGTAGTTGTTTTAAGCATTCTTCTTTCAACCTATAAAACTATTCTCTTAAAAATGCTGACATGACGTGTAGTTTTTAATTCCACTACTCTGTCGCACCCGCAGTCTACGACTGCCATGGCGGGATTTTATGTATCATGTCAGAAATCGCTGAATAAATGCTTGCAAGGCTTTCAATGGTCGAATCTGTTTGCTATTTTTTTTTCATTGATCAGTGGTCCGACTGAGTATTTTGCCGAATGTGTAACACATTTATGATTTCGGAAGGAGTATAAGGAGTAGAAGTGTGTTTTTCTTTTCAATTGGGTACTCAATTTGCATGTTTATAAAGCTCTGTATTGCTTTAAGTTATCATTCATTCTAAATTATTGCACTTATAACAATGCTTTTCAAGATGTGTGGGAAAGGATTGTGAATGCTTGTGGCGAAAGTAGACCAGAACGAAGTACACCAACTCGTAGACGCTTTTAAATCTGAAGGCTCATTCGATAAACTGAGGCGAAAAATTTTCGCCACAATTGCTGCTACTGTATGTAAAGTTTTCGAAGATTGAAATGCAATATTTCAGTATAGTAAATGATGGATCGCATAGAATAAGCAACAAGGCTATCATTTAGTTTTTATTCATTGTATAATGGCCTTTTCCATTGTCTGGAAGTTTTTTATTGACTCGTTATTTAACTCATTATGATCCCTACTTTTTAGATTTTATTAATCATATGGCATTCATTCTCTTTCCTGCATATTTAGAGCTTCTAGCAATATTTCCTGTCTTGTATTGATATTGCTTATCCATTACCGCTTCCTTACTATATAAACTGTTTGGGAAAGTTTAGTGGAGAATTATATTCAGTTCAGATTGATTTCATGTTTAACCTCTGTATCAAAAAGCACTAGTAGTTTTGCAGGATCGTTACCAAAAAGTGGCATTAAATGCTGAGGATATTGTTGACGATTTACTAAAGAGGTCTGCACCAGATCTTACAAAAAATAAAGCACTCGATATACTCAGGAAGAAGCTTTTTGCTCTTTACAGTACGCAGTATGGCATTATGATCACTGAGGTTTATCTCTCCTTTCCTTTTTTTCCTCTGCATGTTTCAAATTTTCACTAAAATTATCATGGATACGAAAGTGTAACTTTGTGGGTGTATATTACAACTGATGGATTTTAGGGATTGGATGCCGGTGAAACATTATGTAGTTTACTAGAAGAGATCGGTCATTATGTTGATTCGTTTCTTGGACTAACAAAAAAGGAACTGCTTGAAAATGTTCAGTCGCAGCAGCCTGTCGAAGATCATGAAGTACAATAACTTTCATTAATAAGGAGTTAATAGTATTTCTATGAGAACTCGATGAAAGTAAAGAGAGCAAGAAATTTTTTTTTAATTTATTAAAAAAATGTAATTGCAATTATACTTGCAGGTTTGTGATATGGAAATAGATTCGGATTCCGAGCAAAGCCCTCAAATGAGTTCAACCAAGGAGACTCCTTTATCTGATATAGCTCTTCCACCAACTACTTGTCCAAATTCAAATTCCTTTATAATGTCATCTTCTCCTGCAGCGCTTACTAAGGCCTGTGTAATTTGCAATTCGTAAACCCTTATTATTAGCTGGTACACTTAATAATGGGTACATTCTGCAAGACAGTTCAGTCTCTCAAGTTAAGTCAGTCATGTGCGCTCAATAACTTTTACTGTCTGCATAAAAAGTGTCGGCGGAAATATTTTTTATTCATTTAATATTTTAAAATATTAAGCGGATAGAAAAGATCGCACACAAGAGCATTTGTCCGTGTCATCATATCTACTTTTCTACCTCTTATTCTTAATTTAATCACATTGTCGAGGACTGCCTTGTCTATGTGAGGATGATTGAAACTTTCATCAGTAATTTAAATTAGCAGTTTTTTTTAATTAACAATTTTTTCAATTAGTATCAGAATTAATAAAGACTAGCCCTTCTATAGCAGGCATATATTCTACGAATTCTAAAAGGTCAACAGTAAATTTAGGACGGTCATCCGTCATTATTAATGCTCTCTTTTATAATTCCATTAGTTATCTTCACTAGTAATTAATTGTCAAGTTAGAACAAATGAGTGATTAAGTCCATTTATCTTGGAGTTTTTTTTTTTTACTTTTCAATTGATTTCTTGGTGTCTTGTACTTACAACTTTTTCATTATATATTGATTTTCAGATGCCATCCGTTTCGAGCACCAGTAACTCATACAGAAACTGTAATTCTATAGGTATGTAAGCCAGCAACGTTTTTCCTACATATTTCCTACCTTTGAGTAATGATATTTGCTTTAAAATTAAGGAATTCGTTCCAGTTATAATATTTCAATCTTGTATCAGTATTATTTTTTAAGCCAACATCACTTACGCTGAATCGACAAATGAGATAATAACTGCTAGATCGAAATCACTGCTCAGACATTCTGCAAGTGGAGATATTGAAGCTTCATTTACCTCATACCAAGCACAAAAAATCGTTACGAAAAAATTTTACTCGAACTCGAGCGTAAATTTGCATTGTTTTCGCACAAGTTTTCTCTTTGGTTGAATTTTTTATTTCATATTCCTCTTTTCAAACTTTGTGCAAGGCAGTGATTCTGCTTATTTTTTGGATATATGTTACTTCACCTTTTAAATTACAATTAATTATGCAAACTGATGCAGGAAGCAATGGCATCCAAGCGTTACATGGCATCGGCTGTGCAGTATCGTAGAAGGCGTCGGCGCAAAGCTTGTAACGGAGATTTTGTATACTATTGATAGAACTACCTCTCGAAATTTGTGATGCACTTCATATTCGAGCTTATATTGCTTGCAACTGCAATCATTTTCTCTTCATAGAGCGCTAACAGATTGCAAAACCTTCTCTCGAAATGAATTTTCAAGATCAAGCTTTTAATTCTTCTTTCTTGTTCCATTTTGGTTGTCTTGTTCCTTTTTTGATTTTCTGTTGCCTCTAATTCATTTGTCTTTCAAGACGTTTATATATGACATTTGGTTTTTATTCTATTAAATATATTCTTGAAACAATACCAAATTTGTAGTTAATAAAGTGAATAAATTAAAGTTTCTGATCACGTTCTGCAATGGATCAATCTCAACAAATCTTGTTTCAGATCCTCACTTTGTGGTCCAACATATACCTTTGATGGGTCATCCGTCAGTTTCGTAAGATATTCGCTGGAAAATTGTTTTAGAAAAAGTGGAGTGTGGGGCTTTGTTGGTCATTCATTTCATGAGGTAAAGTGAGGATGAGCAAAGTGCCAACGGCTCATGTCATGGTATTCAGCGAATAATAGCATAGAGTATATAACTTGTCACAGAAAATGTTTGGAAAGATTAAGGATGAAGAGCAGTATGTGTATGCTGTCACTAAATTTTAAGGTGGGTCAGGTGGAATTGATTGGTATAAGATCAAGTAAAGTAACTTACAAATTATTAAGTTCTGACATGCTGACAGCATAGAAATCAACATTCGGCATTCGACGAATTTCTGCCGATGGCTTACTGGCATCATCTTGCGAGAAGCTGCAATGTATATGTTTAGAGAAGAAGTTCCCCTCATCTTTCAGGGCACTTTATACTGTATGTCTCGTAATTGTAACCATTTGAAGCTGTATTACGGTTTTCATAAGATCAGCTGTAAAATTAGAAAGGCGACTGACCTATCCAAAACATAAAAAAGTGGCGTACCCATCGCTTAGTAGTATCACAGTTGTTGGTATTCCTTGTCTGCGAGTCTCCAAAACACCGATTGAATTTTCCAGCGCACGTCCGATATATGTTGTCCCTTAATAACAATTGGTTCTTTTCAAAATGTTTAAATTACAGTCCTAGACTGAATACTAATTTTTTGCATGGAACCTTGGGCCAGGATGTGTCATCCATAAAGGTGACAATGGGATTTTTATTTTCACACCCTGTTCTAATGTCTCGTACTGTTAATCTTACTCTCCATTATGGATAAAAAGAAGGAAGTTTTTATATCATGTGACCTATATTTCTTCATTAATGGTAACTTTGTGAAAAATTTGTCTCGGTCAAATTCCAATATTTTTGACTAGGAGTAAATTTGGCTGATTACTGACTTTTCTAATCCAAGCTTAACTAGTTTTTTCTAAGCAATCCCTTGTCGAAATAATTTACCGGTAAAATGTCGAACTTGAGTTAACGCTTCCGCAATATCTTTGATATCTTTATACGTATCGAACGTCCACTCAATTCTCTGATGTGAACTACCAGCGAATTGAATCAAAGCAACCCGTTGATCGCCTTCACCAATCTTACAAGAAGAAAAAAATTTTTTTTTGATCGAAATATTCAATCACTTGGGGAACGCGCAAGTAATTGAGATAAGTAGCAGCGGCAGGACGGTTTGTAAGTTCTGTTTCGATCTTTAGCGTTGAATTTTTTAATCTGTATATTGGAAAAACTTTAGCACATTTTCAAGGCATTGTAGTTTATATGATCATTTCTCATGATCAGATAAATGGGATGTTTTAAAGATAATGAACAGCAGCAAAGTCTCTTAAAAATATGAAATATAGGGAAAATAAATACTTGTAATTCGTTGAGCAGTGACAAAAGATATTCCTTTTGTTGATCGTATATCCTTTGCACTGACCCAGAACTATCAACGACAAATAAAATTTCTCGTGGACACTGTCCTAAAAAAGATGAATGAATTATTCTATCTTTCTCTATACCGATTTTCTTTTTACCTTGACTTTTTTCAATGCTCCCGGCTGATCTTGTTTTCCCTGACTTGTTTGCGGTTGAAATACGCTGCACTGTCACATGTCTGGAATAGTGATTTGTAGCCAAGAAATCGGAAAATACGTTATATGTCACAATACCTTACATGTCATATATGAGGATATATGAGAAAAATCGTATATCAGTAAGAAATAATCAGGTGGTACAGAATATATCAACCAAGATAATGCAAAAGCCATCGTCGAGTATTCCTTCCAGGTAGAGAAGTGATGCAAACAAGATTTAATTGGTAGAAAAATAAATCAAACTTTGTTTGCAGATAAGCTAGTAATTATTTTGTTATGAATTTGTCAATGTTAAATCTCTTTGAAAACGTTCAAGCAGTTCGAAAATGTAACGGACCGTGATGCTGACGCCGTCTTACTGCTAAGAAGATCTGCCGATCGCGAAGTTTCTTGATCTCCAGAAGACGAACGATTTGTAGGCGATATTGTCACTTCCGTTCGTGGACGCACCTTTCGTAGCTTCTTGGTAAATTTAGAAAGGGCTATAGTATTTTCATTTTCTTCACCATTTTTAAAACGCTGCAACTTTGGATCTTATAATTGATCACATTGTTAAGAGAAGAAATAATGGAAATATAATGCAGATACTTTGCTAGTTTCTCATATCATCAAAATTAAGAGGATCAGCGCGACTACTAGGAAGGTTATCGATCATCTTCGGACATTCTGTATCGCTGTTAAAAGTTGGGATCTTATCATGATGCTGCCAAAGAAAGTTATTTTGATTACTTGAGTAGGACCCTATCTAACTATAATGCCAAAATTACTGACATCCTTACTGAAGGTCGATTGTTGGGGAGTGGTTATAGCTTCCACAACCTGTTCGTCAACATTCACTATATTGACTAGTGCTTCATTAATATTTTCATCGCTGATTTTATCTTGTGCATCGGTTTCCAAAAGCTTTGCATCCTATAAGCATAATTTTGACCGCTCATTAACAGTGCTTATAAACAAGTTTTTCTATAATCCGTCTTCAGTGCGCTTTTCAACCTCGAGTTCTTCAATCATAGCTTTTCAAGTTTCACCCTTGTGAAAATTTATTTAATCATGAGATAAAACTTCTGGTTAGTACTTACAATTTGAAATCGCAGTATTAAAAACTTCAACTTAAGACAAAAACCAATAAAGTTCGAGAATTATTGTTGAGTTAAAACAATGATAAACATTCTGAGATGAATCTGATTTATAAATGATAGACGCAATCATACCTCATCTTGAGATTCAGTTATTTGTTTGGTTGGAATTTTCCTGCTCTTATGTTTCAATTGTGTATCTTTCGTTAATAATTTATGTGGTGTAGGATGTGTTGTAATTGTCGTCGGTGTTCTGCTAGTCGTATGCAATTTTGTTGATGTCGCGATCTTACTTGAAGAACGGAATGATCCGATCCCTGTTGCATTTATCATTGTTTTTACGGTAGCTGTTGGTATTTCCCATTCGTTCTGAGTCTCGCACGTTTGGGCATTTTCCACTTCAGTGGTTAATATTCTTTTCAATCGACTGAATTCATGCGGTCTGAAATCATAAGCTATTTAATTTCCTTTTCACATGGTCCAATAGAAAAATACCAGAAGAAAGTACTAAGAAATCATGGCTCTTTTTTTTGAACAATGTCATTTATTTACTATGCACACCATTAATTACAGTTTTCAATTCCAAGATAAAGTACTCCTAAACCAAAATGATTTTCATCTTCTAGGCCGAATCTCTTCGACAACTTGTGACACTAAAAGCTGAAATAGCGATAAGTGAATTGAGATATTCTACAAACAATTGTATGTCAAACCATGGCATTCTTTGAAAGTTAAGCGACAAAAGAAAGAGCAGGACCAGTTCATTAAATATTACTTCATCAAAATTGTGGTAGATATGACTTTTGAATGATATTGTTTTCAATGAATGAAATATAATAAATATATCGTTTTATTCTGTTATCTTAAAGGAAATTGTAGATAATGAATTTAGAGATCAGAAATTAGCATTTCACTGATTCGACTGTTTTTGAAGATGTAATATACATCATCAAGCCAAATCACCCCAAAACCGTTATGATTTCCTTTTATTTCGAATCGGTTACTACAGATAACAGAAAATTTTCGGTAATATCATTACTGCACTCTTTTGTCCTATCTTTATAAAAGCAGCACCTCAATCACTGTTTCTGATAGAAAATTTTAAAGCCGAAAAGTTGATTCTTTTAAATTGCACTGTTCGATTATTGAGCATTACATCATAACACGTTAATTAAACGTTCACTTAATCTGTGCGATTATTCAGAAGTGTCGTTATCAATCACTCGAGTTTAACGATACCACTATATATTGAATTACTATCAAATTGCATATAAATTAGTAGATGTGAATTCTTGCCAATACAAAATATTGTGTTATAATTTATGAAATAATTGAACAAAATATAATGAGCGAACCCGAAGACATTCGACTTCCCACCAGCAATACGGTTCATTTCAAGTTCAAAACCGTCCGATCCAACATATACAACATAAATTTTGACCTTTTCAACTTCACGTAATTGCTGAGCATGTTTTATAGGATCATCAACAGATAATCCATCCGTAAACAGAACAATAATTTTGCTAGCATTGTTTCTGAAATCATGTCACCAATCCTTGAAATGCTCAGACTTGAACGTCTGCTGAAACATCTTCCAACCAAACATAATTAAATATTCCGAAGTTTAAAAAATGTGGCAAAAAATTTTTTTCTCAGTATTTCTTCCCAAAACTGCATGTTAATTTGACGATACAATTCAAGCTTTTAGCCTGCTTCAGGTAGAAAGAGACCGAGAAATATCGATGGTAGTAAATCAAATATGGAACACTTTTTCATGATTGGCATATAAAGTTTCAGTAAACTGATGCTTTTTAGACAAAATTACTGTTTCAGCCATTAGTGAAACAGTATTATAATCAATTTTCAACTAACCTGGCTCCTTTTTCTTCATTAAACAATTCACTTTTTGCTGCCAATAGTGCTTTACCTGTCCTGGTACCACCGGAATGGAAATTAATTGTCATAATATGATTAGTAATATCACGCGGATCTCGATAAGTACCAAGGGAAAATTCGGTAGTCGGTATTTCGGCATACTGAATTACAGCAATATGTACTTTGTCCTTATCGGTTAGTAATGCTTCGGCCAATTGATTGGTCCAATTAATATGTTGCGTATAGATTTGCTCCAAGCTTCCAGAAGTATCCAGGAGAAACAACAGATCTACACCACATCCGTCCTTTATTGGATCTGTATTCTTTGCATCATTTATTATATCAACCAGTGAGTTAATGAAAGAAAATTATGGTATTTGATAAATGGTACAATGTTATTTTAACAAGTGTAGTCCTAAGACATTCAAAAATGATATAGTATCCATACATGTCCCGGTGAATTCTAAAACATCGTTGCCGTCTCCGTCTTGCTGTATGGATGATGATTGCCAAGGATTTTCAGAGGTCAATAGATCTCCTTCTCCGGATCCTTCGCCAGACCCCTCGAGATCATCATTTTGAGCACAGCACACAAAAATGAACAGCGCAAACCAAGCAAATCGAAAAGTCATGTTCGTCGAAACAGCAAGGTGGTTTCTGCTTTACATGACCCTTTTATCTTCTATGCCTCCTAAATGGGGTTTCCGGGATAAAAAGGCCTCTCAGATTTGGTCCGCCCATTTACATCTTATTCCTTCCTTCATTCATCCTGGAAGAACAAATAAATTCCTTTTCTTAATCCATTATTGCCATCACAACTGGCACCCTTATTCGTTGTTTATGGAAGTACAATCCTTTATCAATGAATTTGATTTGCTTTTTTTCCTTTCTAAATTTCAACTACAAATACACTATTCAATTCGAATAAATCAATGTTATCAAATGAAATCCATGATGATTATCAATAGGTAACAGAGGTGAATACTTCATGTTACTTGCCACCCTCCCATATAAATGAATAATATTTCATGTTGGTGTGATAATTGGTCACTATGTGAGATATATGCCATGATCCAGAATTTTGAGTTAAAGCAGAGGGATTCTGTATCTTCTACCGCTTAAATAAATCAGAAAAGAGAAATCACTGATGAAACAATCAAACAGTAATCCGATAACAGCAATGAAATGAATCTAACACTTTCGAGTATATTTTGGTTTTCATATAACAACACGAACACTATCATTAGGTTTGATGAATATAATGAAATGTTGCCTGATTATTTTCTGTAAAATTTCTGCTCTCCAGATATTCAACATATTAGAAAACATCAGCAACTTTTAGGAAGAAATTATGGTAAACATTCAGTTATTTCAATTTAACCTTGAGTAGTTTACTGGGAGATAAACTGTTATTGCTGTATTCTTAATAATCAAGACCTATTCTTAATAATTAATCATCGAATTACTAATCATCAAATTATCTTTCTGTAAATACTTTACAGGATTTACAGAAAGAGATCAATTTTCTTTATAAAAATGAAGCAGTCACCATTTTGTACTTAATAATGCTATCTTCAACAAACTGAAAAATGGCATTGTTGAAGATAAAATAGATTAAGTTGCTAGAATGATTGAGTGCAAAGAAAAAACTATAATATACCATAAAATTGTTTTCAAATTTAATAGTTTCGAAATTTAAACGACAAAAATACTTGTTATTGTGATTGTGTCTCTCTTTTTGTACTTCTATTCTTTTTTTTATATCAAACAAAACAAAGAAACCATAAGGCGACGCAGAGACATTTTTGTTCGACAAAAATTCCGATGTCTCTTATGTCACCTTTCTCCACCGTTCCCATTTCATAAATATCACAAACAGCTCTATAATCGATCTCTTCCCAAAATGTTAACAGTAATACAAACAAGTCATTAGGAGAGTAATGCTGGGGAGATAATACTCATTGTTAAAATTAGTCATTCGTTTTGCTCAATCTCTATAAAAAATTTCCATCAGAAAAACCACATGTTTCTTAAGATCGATCTTTCGTTAATCTTGCGTCACTGTACAAATATGTGAAAATGGAAAGGTAACAAATTTATTAAATTACAAAGGATACAGAGACGGAGATTAGCAACAATTGAAATAATTTATTGCACTAACAGTGTTCAATTTCATTAAATAAGCAGAGGTTGTATTGCTTGTCTCCTGGCAGCTTCACTCATTCCAAGCTTTCAAGCTTATTTAATACACATAATTGAAAAAACAGATGTCAAAGTTAGCACTGTTTAACATTACAAACTGACTTATGAAATTCTTAGAGTTTATGAAAAGCGCTTCGCAAGTCAGACATATTAGACAAAGGCTGGTTTATATTATAGAAAACTTTTTGCTGTGCCTTCCGCAAATTTTGTCCCTCTTCTTTATTGCCCGCACTTAGCCAGTGCGTCGCAATATGATGAATACAAAGTTCACTATATGCACCCATGCACAAATTTATACTCATTTCAGATAATTAAATGAGTTAATTTGAACGTTCGGGATATGAATGTCACTAAAACGTCTTTTGTCAAATAGTCCGCTAATACTACAATTAAAGCCAATAAATAGGCAATCATACATTAACTGTCCAAATTTTTAAAACTGAATCCTGTCCAACGGTGATGATCTGATTCGGACCAAGCCAAGCAATTCCATTAATTGGGCTCATTGAATGCGCTCCTGAAAATGATCCGAAAAATATGCATACAGATATTTCTCCAAGGAAAACACAGGTAATCAGTAAATGAAACCCAATAATTTAAATCTAATTCAAAGTTTGCATTCCATGAAACCTTGAGTTCAATATGGAAATATGAATTCGGTTCAAAACGAGCGGTAACTAACCTTTGATGATTATTGGATGTTCCCCACTGTGTTTCAAATCCCAAACGATAACATTCGTATCAATGCTACCAGTTGCAACAAAACGACTGTCTGGTGACCAGGCAGAACAGTTGACTCGAGCTGAATGAAAGGTCCAGTCTTTCTCTGTGACGCATTTGTAGCCATTATTTACGGAATAAGGTATTACCTGCAAAAACTTACGACTTGAATTTAGCTTGCCAACTACTTAAAACAGGGTAACCACAGCTCTTAAGCTTCAATACTTTCTCTATTGTAAATACTCTCCATTTCATCTTTAATAAAAATAATGGGAGCAATTCTTGTGTTGTACTACAAAAGAAAAATATTTAAATCACCGGTTGTCGAAGTTTAGTCACAACAATGAAAAAAGAAAAGCTCAATCTCTTTGCCCTTGTGTCATTTCAAAACTGTATCACTAATTTATCAGATGAAGTAGCATTTTTGATTTGATAATGAAAAAAAATCTATTATTGGCTTATCTGAAGTAATGGATGGCCCCATACTGCAATGAAATGTGTCCAATAATTTAAAATCAATTCCTCATTTGTAACGAATACCAAATAACTAGGATGGCCAAAGATAAAAACCATCAAGGTACCTTCCTATTTGCATCTGTTGCAACAAGAAAATTTCCATTCGGGCTCCACGAGAGTGAAGTGATGGATCCAGTTTGCGAAATTGTATTTATTTCTTTCATTTGATTGTCATTTAGTTCGTAAATATGTACCTTGCCATCCTGAAAAGTATCAATCAAGAAATAATGAAAAAATATACCAAGAAGAATTTGCTTCATGTCTACTTCATAAAATCTAGTTTAGTACCTCACTACCAACAGCAGTAAGCCTGGAATCTGGAGCAACAGCGACACAAGAAGCTTCGTAGTCGATGTTTTCTAAGATCGTTTGTCTGCCATCTGAGAAAACAATAACTGATTTCTGGCAAGCAACAACTGCAATCTTACCACCAGAACCTAATGCAAGTTGTCGTGGTTGTGATGATAATTTTACCTTGTTTGACTGAACATGATCTGCAAACAAATGTAGTTGTAACTGGAACATTTTATGCATGCTTCTATAACAAGGGAAATGATGGAGTCAAATAAATCAAATCTGAGTAAATTAAAATTCTATTTCTGTCGAGGAAAAAACTCACCGAGTGAACCAGGAAAAGAAGTAAAAGCAATAGAATCATCCCAACCGACCGATACCAAATCACCATTTGGTGAAATACTCATATCTGATACCTGCAACGGCATGCAGCAAACAACTATACCGGGATCATCTTGTCTGCACAAAGAATGCAATGAATTATATATACCATTAGAATTTCGAGAAATTCTTACCAAAATAGTAAAACTCTATACTACGAGAATGATAAACAAAAGCTGCCACATATCTAACCTTTGAATTATGTACAACAGGTAACAACCTTTCCGAATCTCCTGAATTAAGGCACCATCGTGCTGCAACAGAGCTTTCATTTTGCTATATAAATCAGGAACAGGCTCTTTGAAGGAAATAACATACTGTAATTGTCTCAGTGACTTTTGGGAATGAAAAATTCATAAAAAAAGTTACTGGTTCGCATTATCTTGCCGACTGATAATACAAAGAATCTAGCAAGAACAGAATTAACAACTTTTATACTAAAGGACACTGAGACAACCAATGGAGACTGATATAAATATGTGAGCAGCTTCCATAAATTTAAAAAAAAAAAAAATTGATGCGCAGATACAGAGACACAATATATTTTTATAATATTTCTTAATCTATGAAAACTTACTAATATTTCCTTCAAAATCCGCTGTGAAAGCCAACGCTTTCTCCGGATGCACCGTAAGAGCTGTTATAGGCTTGTTATGTCCTTTCAAAACTTTTGATACCGAACCACTCTCTAAGTTCAATATATTTATGAAACCCGAGAGGCTCACTCCAACAAGAAAAACTTTTGTCCAAATGATGCAGAGCTGCTGATCATCGACATCTTTCCCCATCACAAAAGTCCTGATGATAAAGAAACCGACTAATCATATGAATTCTGTAGATCCAAAAAATTACACAAACATAATGAGAAAATAATTACAAGGTAGAGAAAATAAATGGAAGAATGTGCAAAGAAAATGCTCAAATAATAACTGACTTCTCTAATTTCTTCGAAGCAACATCCCAAATTTTGATGGTTTTGTCACCGGATGCGGTTGCAATACGCTGCCCTTCTGGAGACCAACATAAAGCAAAAACGCTTCCAGCATGTGCCACACCTTTACACTGATCATCCACAAATTCTCCTTCTTTTTGACCACTTATTCCTTCGTATAATATCACCTAAGACTCATGACAAATATCAAATTATAACTCACATAATTAAATAATCAAAACAGCTCCCAAGTACAAAATAGCAAAAATTGTAAAGCAAAATTAACCGAACCTTTCCATCTGCCCCCGAACTAGCAAATAGTGTACCAGCAGCGTTATACCGGACACAGTAAACAAAACGGGTATGCTCGTGAAAGAGCTGCAACACCAAAAAATATTAAATATAAAATCAACCTTAAAAATTTAAATTTTTATACAATACAAAAGTCTTATATTCTAAGATAAAGTGCATTAACTTGATAGAATTACAGGCTTACAGTCAGAAATTTAAACGGAGGTCCTTCGAAGAGTGCGACAGTATTGTCTTCCGAACCACTCACAAGTCTGTAGGGTCTAGCAGGACGAAAATCGATACTTGACATTATACGGCTTTGACCCGAAAGATTCCCATTGGAGGTTCCCGTATCAAAAAGGAAAACATGACCAAACCTGAAATTATAACCTTACTGCTAAAAAATTTTTTAGTTTCCAGAAAGACTTCCACGTCAGGTTCAAAAATTGGTAACTGAGTCTTATCGTTGACAAAGCAAACCTTTCGCGTCCTTCACCAACTACTGCTATTCTTTTGCTATCGTCAGACCATGCAATATCACGAACAGGACCTGACAGTATTGAGTATTCAGCTTTTAATATATGTGTGGGCTGTGTCGCATCCCAGATACGTATTTTTCCAGACTGGTCACCCGATGCGATGTAAAAACCGGATGGAGAGTACTTTGCTACGGTTGTAGGATTCGCATGTTCGGTATAAATTTCACATTCTTTTGGATTCTGTAATACGGGAACTACTGAGGTCCCAAGAAAGCAAGAACATTTCCCATATAGAGAAAGTTTGGAACTAACGAACAAATAAAAATAGTACAAGAAAGCTAGTCTTCTGAGTTAAGCACCATTTATAGATAATGTGCTTAACAAATTCTTCAATAGCTTATCTTTGAAACTCAAGCAAAGGAAATCCTGATTAAGTTACCTGGATACTACGAATATAAACGGAATTGCCATTGCAGTACATCAATTTCTGGCCATCTGGACTTGCATGCAACGACAGAGGCATGCCTCGAACAGTGCGCGGCAAAGACGCAAACGTTGCATCTGAAATTTGCAAACATAAAACCTTCATAGCAAGCTGAAAAGACCAGATCCTAATGTATATCCCATATAATACTCGAAGGTTATAAATACATAGCTACAAAAGTATTGAAATTTCAGAGTCTTCTTCCATTAAATAGTTTCCATTTGAAGACACTTAACAACTGTCCATGCTTAAATCACTTTAAAAAAGCATTCCTATCTCAGAAGGACAGAATCAGATGGTTCAAAGTACTAGCAAGAAGATTCATACGCAAATATAATCAACAACCTTGCACATACTCCTCTGTCGACGTCATCAAATGTTCTTATAAAATAAAAATGTGTTAGGGAACACGGTTTGATGCTTTCCTGCAACAACATCGGTATTTTTTAAATTTTAAAGCTTAAAAGTTGAGCGAAACTTTGCAAAAACAAGCAAAATATAGTATTAAAATCTGAATATTTTTCAAAGTCACAAAAAATGGTGAGAACTCCAGATGAGAAAGGACATATCAGTTATCCGTGGGTATTGAGGAAGAGCAAAACGAAATACGGAAAAAGCAATACGTCACTCGACTAGATGATGATTCACTGTGCTTTATCAGTACCTGATAGACTGTCCCTTTAACTGCCTTGTATCCTTTCATGGATATCATTGCCAGTGGCAGGCTATTTATTGTAATAGCGGGCTATTGGTACAAATCACATTCATCCCTACCAAGTGATTCATCTATCAGATATGTATCCCTACAATACAACTAATTAATTTGGTAATAAACGCAATTCTGAAATATATTTACATGTTCCCATCATCACTATCATTCCGGTTGCCCTTTTCATGCATAAAATTAAGAGAATTGCTAATTTGCAAAATTAATAATTCCATACATCACTGCATACAGTACCGATCACGCGTTGGGGATTTAAGGTATTAGCAACATTTCAGCATTACATATTTCCATCAACATTTTGATAGAGCGTAGAGGCGGATGAAAACATTCTGCTGGAAGCCTCAAGCAGACCGAAAAAGCGTTGCCCAAAAAATAATTAGGGTCACGCTAACGCTACCGTACCAAAACGATAGGATGGAAGGGTTACCAGGACTCAAGGCGAATATCCAACTTGCAAAGCTAAACAACGAAAAGGAAAAAGAATAGAAACAGATTTTGGATGATGATGATAGATAACAATTCTTAATAATAACAACAGTGGAACAGTTGCTGAGATAATGAAAATGACTAAGGCAAAACGAGCTCGAGATGTGATCGATGGGGAAGCTTGAAATGAGATCCATTCACTCTCACACAAATACACCCACAGATGCATCTGCTGAGAAGAACAAACTGCACCAAACAGCATTTTGTAATATAGCTGTGAGCGGGAATGTGATGGTACTTACTTCCACTTACGCTAAACAATTTGAGACAAAAATACGGATTACACTAATGATCAGTACTAACATTAGTCTGGAAACTAAAATTGGTCCAGAATTGAGTCTGGAAACTCGAACTGCCTTAAATGCACAGACAGATAGATGCATTCATTTATTTCAAAGCTACGAGCAAACAATGATTTCAGGCATTATCAACACAAAATACAAGGCTACATTTTTTTCATTTATCGCCCCTATTATTTCCATTCGTGATTTTACTGGAAGAAACAAAATTTCAAATTTCCGAACAGTTGTTAATGAAATATGGAAGTGAATTTTGAATTGTTCTCGAAAAGCAATGGCAGGAGTTCCTTTTCACTTCATTGACAACAGGAATGTGTCATCATAGACCGTTTGGTATGGATATTCAAAATCAATGAACCTAAATCACCCGCATACATAATCACAAATCTTTTACCGCAAAATATCCTTATATGTAAATCTTAAAACCACAAATCCTTGATCCAATTCATTTATAAATTGAAGGCAGGACGAAAGCTTTTCACAACGGCTCAGTCAGTTCGTACGCATATGTGAGGCTTTATATAAACGGGGAATAGGGCGGTCGTATAGAAGTGCTCGTTTCAGCTCTGGTAAATCATACAACGGGATTCGGTATTAAGCAGAGTAAAGCTGATAAAGCGTTCCAGGTTAGGTGCGATGCGTGTTGCGGCGAGTGAGTTATGTCGTGAAGAACATGAATATATGCTTAAATTCTTACTCGTTGGTGATTCGGATGTTGGCAAAGACGAAATAGCGGACCTTTTAGGGCCATCTGTCTCGTACACTCCAGATGCTCTCTTCATACGTAATTCTTCATTCATTGTTATTTTTTAAATTTATATTAACTTGAGTCATTCATTCATTCTAAAGATTAGCTTTTATGTTCTCGACTGGTTCACACTGTGCCATTTATTTTACTTTCTTAAGTTCCCAAGTTTCTTAATACTTTTACCCATCACCTTAAATGTCGTACATCGTCAATACTTGTTTTCCTTTTGGTGCATTTAATTATAAAAATATAAATTAAAAAAGTTTTCTTATGGAATTACTTATCCCTGTAAACACTTTGAATATTGCAAAAGTTCTATAGTTTCATGGGAGCACTTCTTTCTTGTTATCATGTCGGCAAAATTATCTATTTATTTAGGGCCTTCCAATTCGAACCTTTCAATTTAGTTGTTACCAAAATCATTTAAGTAGTTGCCAAATTACTTCCAACGATGTATGATTTCTTATGTTTCAAATTTTATCCTATTTTGCTACATCTTTAAATAAATACATGTAGCGTGCTAGTTTTTACTTATGCAGTTTCACTGGAATGTTATTTTTTTAGCATTTGCGGTTCCTAAGACGACAACAATACTATTGGAAGGAAAGTTCGTGCGGTTACAGTTATGGTCGGTTTATTTATTTTCCCATTTATTTAAATTTTTATAGGGTAGAATGGTGAAATGAGCGGTTTTTCCGTTTGAAGATAACCAAGGGTAACTAATAGCTTCCGGACTTTCAGGAATGCATCAGGGCAAGGACGATTTTCGACCATTATCAAATCGTATTCACGGGGAGTTCAAGGCATTTTATTGGTTTATGACATTACGAATAGATGGTCTTTTGATGGTATACGTCGATGGCTTGCGGAAATTGATGAGGTTTCTCAATTCCTTTGATAAATGAAGCTCACTAGCACTAGGAGAAAATTTGTCAACCATTTGTTTATGTTCAATTCGGTCAGTTCTGGGTTTTCTAACGTGAAAAGAAACATAGTATTGTTTGAAGCTTGCAGAAATCTAGCAATTTTCAGATATTAATCAGTGTTTGTGTCTCGATTTCTTTTTAAAATTCATTGAGCAAAATCTCCTTCGACACGAGTGGAATTTCATTATTACATGATTTTCTATGTATGATGTCTGTTTCCAGCATGCACCTGGTGTCCCGAGAATTTTAATTGGCAATAGACTTCACTTAGAGTTCAACCGAGCCGTTCCACGCCGTGAAGCAGAATATTTTGCTCGAAAGAGGAATATGCAGTATTTCGAGGTAATTTTTCCATCTTTTCCTAGTCAATGAATTCAATAAATGAATGCCTTACACTGCGCAGCGGTTATTTTAAAAGAAAATGAAAGCTAAAAAATTTGCAGATCTCAACATTAGCGTATTTTAATGTACATGAAAGTATCACGGAACTAGCACGTTTGGTTATTTCGAGAAACGGGATGCATTGGTTGTGGAAGAGTTCTCAAGGTCTTATTAATCATATTTGGAAAAATAGAATACTGGAAAATTTGTATTCGTTAATCGATTGCTTCATATTCCACTTAGCACCAATAACTTGGCTGCTGTTTTAGTTGCTTCTTTGCAAGATCTCTGTTGTCGAACTATCGTAAAGAATATTTCAAATGTACATGCTGTTGATCGATTACTCCTTCCTTCATTTCTCCAGTTAAAAGTAACTGTTTTGTGATATTTGTAATTTGCTCGGGAAATATCTTTGCGTTTTTTAAAGTGCTTGAGTAATACTTTTATGGCAGTTATTTCGCTATCAAAAGGGAGACCTTTTCAAGCTGCTCCTTACTAGGATTGAGCACATTGAAGTTTTTTAAAATTATTGGTCCTAATGTATTGAATTTTTGCAGTATATATCATTGTCATTTAGATATTATATTATTGCAGGTAAGATCGTTCGCTTCTGGTGCGGATTTGTGTATGCGCAGTATTATTAGACGTGAATATGCTACTCCATATTTCAGTACAGCAAGTAAATACATTACACGTTTTGTACGAGCACGAAATATGAACACAAAAGATCAATTGCGAAACGCGAACTGCGATTTAATGTGAAGTTCTCTAAGCTAACAGCACAAGTGGTTTTTTTTTATTTCAAAATACTATTTGTTCAGATGTCAAAGAGTTTAATCGATTATTGCCTAATTCTTGGAACTAATGTATGTGTCGCAGCTAGAAAGCAGTGCAATAACTCGTATTTTAGACGCGCTGTTGAAGCAGTTATGCAGTATGAAGTTGTTAGTTACTATGCTTAATCTTTTTTCTTGTAAAAATCATGAAAAATTGCTTCATTTTTTTGTATTAGTGAAAGTTAATCACTGGTTTACTGTCATTCATGTACCTTATCTCGGTGCTTTTCCAATAACGGTTAGTTGGCAAATTATTTCTGTAAAGTCAGTTCACTGTTATCATTATTGATTTATTCATGAATTTATCTCTTTCCCGAGGAGTTGTTATTTTAGTGTTGTTAGTTAGATTTGGAATGATAATGAAAAGTAGAACTTCAAGCAAAATATTTGCATTTAATAAGGTCTTAGTTTGGTGTCCGTATTAATATCCTTTTTATCGAACTGATGTTGTACATTTTGACCAGGAATATCTGAGGTCCACGTAGAGGAAATACTTGACCTCTTTAGAAAACAGATCCTGATATCATGGGGAAAAATAATATGAGAGGAACCAATTAATCTAAGTTATGCCGACTTATCACTTTCAATATACTTGCAACGTGTAACAAGATTTTTTTAAACCATTATTCTGTGAATCATTTTTAGCGAATCATTTTCTGTGAGTTTAAAGTCAATTTCTTTGATTATTCTTTATACAAGAAATCAGTAACGGTGACATTAATGACACCGAAGTGCGTAAGATTCTTAATGATTAAAGGTGTTTTATTTCACTCAAAAATAAAGGTCGAATTCATACTTAATCTTGCTTTTTTTCGGAAAAGTTCGGTTCCTCGTCATGCCAAGAAGTCATATATTGGCAAAATTGAGAATGTTCTCGAGATTACAGGTTGCTGTGTTGTTTGGAAGATTCCATGCTGATATCACTACTAAAGCTTAGAAAACGTTACCGTTATGAGCTTTATGTACTGTTAAATGCATCGTGAAATTCACATTGTTTTTGCAAGAAACCAAAGCCTTAGGTCTTCCCGCCTGTTCCAGTTTCGCTGTGCTGCGTAATGCTACTGTCCATTTCATCCGTCAAAATTACTGGCCGACATCATATTCGCACCTGCTAAGTTTCCACTTTTTCAGAAAGGTGATTGGAATTTATGTAAGAAAATCCTTTGCACATTTCAAACATGACATTAATCTTTCTGAACCTTAAGTTACTCCTTTTTTTGAAAAAGTTAGAACAAGTAAAAAATTAACAGATAAAGAGTAAGATATGAAGATCAAGCCGATAATTTCGACAATGTTATCTGCTCAACGATATCTTACATTATTACTACTATCTGCTTGCGAGTTGTGCAGCCAAAAAAAGATATATATCAAGCCGGTATGAGAAACAATCTTCTCCTTCTGAAGAACATACTCTCTAGACACCGGATAATTGCTACCATAATCAAAAAACGCGCAGATGGAGGAAGATTTATCGAAGAATTAAAATAAAGTGCATACACTTTATTCAAAAAATTACATACTTGAAGAGGCATTTCTTCCAAAACTGCAGATATTGCAAAGCTATATAGTGATTTGTTTAGACGTGAGCAGTTCGATACATTCATGATAATGCTTTGCCTCACGTGAATGGGCAAACTTCTTGTATTGAAAAAGTTAATGAATTTGATGAAATCGACATTAAACCACAAACAATAATTGATATATTAAAAGCAACAATTAGATATAGCTTTAATAGTTAGCTAAGGCTTAATTGTCAATTATCGACTCACTAAATTAGGCCTTCATTCTTCCTTTTCCAAGCGTTTTCATCTTCGTTATTCTTAGCATAACTGCAATCTCCATTTATTTTCAACGATCTCCAATTTATATTTAATTTGGATACTCAATACTATGATTCCTATCTTTTTTTTTCTTTTCCCTTCAGTGTTTGTTTTATTTTTCAACAACAATATTGCGTATGAATGATTTGATAGGCACAAATAACTAACAATTGATATTGATTAAAATTGCTCATCAACAATTAATTTCTTCTTTTCTTTAGCAACCTCAATATAGTATAATAATAGATCGAGCATTTTCAGATTAAACTATCAGTTTAACAATTCGATTCATTTTTAAAAATATTATGCCATTGGTTTATTCTCTTCAAAAATCATAGTATTTCATTCACATCATCGTCTACATCACAATATTTGCTTTTTGATTTCTAAAAGAAAAACATAAACAAATTCATTGATGAAGATAATTAATTAAAAGAAAAAAAAAATGCAAGATATAGGAAATCTTTGTGTTATTTTTAACTTTGCTACCTTTCAGAAAAAGTTACAATATCATAGAAGAAAAATGAAGAAATTATGATTCATGGGATTTTTTAAATGAGATTTGTTACAGCTTTTAAACATTAAGAAGTTGCTTGTAATTTGGGTTATTCTTATGGCATTGAGCGCACTTTGAATTAGAATAAATCAACGATGCAACGATTTGTTTCTAACAAAATTCTTCTGCAAATATAACCCAAAACTAAACAAACTGTCAGTATCTTTCTTTCTTTTCTTTGTTTTATTTAATGTGAATATTTTGCAAATCAATTTATACAGTAGAAGAAAAATTTTTTGATTAAATTATTGCTTTAGATAAATAATTGACAGAAATGGATTGATAATTTAGGAAAAAGAAAGAAAAAGAAAAATGATGAAAAGCAAACAGAAAAAAGAGTAAGTAAAAATGAGATAGCAATTAAAATATGATCTTAATTAGTATCATGGCATATTTGTTCCAATAATTAAATAATAATAAATTTTATAATGTCAAAAAGTTTTTAGGAAGAATGAATGTTGACAATCAAAAAAAAAAAAAATCGCTGATAATACAAATGCAAAAGAGAAAAATAAGGTTATGAGAACATGTTGAGAATTAGTTAATTATTGATAATCATTTAATCGTATCAATACCCGAATTAATACAGGACAACCTCCTAATCATCATCGTCATCATCATCCATTCAAATTACTCTCCCTCAGTGCTACCAACCAACCTATCTAACCCTACATCAACAATGATAATATTTTTTCACATAAGGTAATGATGCCGACAGGAATGATACATAAAAACTAATGCAAAATGTATTTGATTTATATCAAATTCTAATTTTTCTCGGCATTTAACTGAATAGCCGTGAACATTGTTTGTTTGTTTTCTTTCGTTTTTTTTTTGTTTCTCTTTTCTTTTCCGTCTTTTTTAATGGTACTAAAACAAAAAAAAATGAGTTAATTAATTTAATGGAAAAAATCCGTCAGTCTTTTTTGCATTACGACGTCAATAACGAAATATTTCATTAAAAAAAAAGGAATTTTCATTAAAATTTGTGATATTATTTATGATAGAGGTGTCAATCTCAGCCGCTTTCTATTCCCTCTCCTTCCGTCTCTCTCCTCTCTCTCTTTTCCCCTCTTTCTATCTTCTCTTTCAAGTTATCCACAATTTTCCTCTATCTATCTTCCTACTTTTCTCTCTCTCTCTCTCTCCCTCTTTATTAGTTGACTATTTGAAAAACTTTCTATTCTTATTTTATCATTGTTTTAATAATTTCTAGTTCTGTTTAGTGCTAATAAAATAAGAATCGTTGAAAAATATGTGTGGTAGATTGATCCCGTAACTCTTGCTGTGATACCGTATACATTCAAATTCACATGAAAAGTTGTGTTAATGTGATATTGAAATTTTGTTTATCAAGGTTTATCATTTTATCAATTGCTTTCTTTGAAAATGTGTTGAAAGCTGCCTGCAGATAAAATGCTCTATTAGAAAGAGTAAATGCTTGAGCACAGGTTTATTATGATGGAATCAAAGAGTTCCCGGTAGAAAACATTTCACCGGTCAAGCGGTTTTCTCCTCTGCTCCCTCGCTTTACTTACCACATCTATCAGAAAAGGGTTGTCGTAATTAATGATTTTATTCGAACAGTTACAAAATGGTGCTGCCTTTCCCAACAGTTAATATTCACGTTGTGAGCAAGAAAGAAGGGAAAAGTCGAGGGCGCCGAGTAGTCGCCATCCTAATGGACAGCTGTAGCCGATTATATTTCACACTTTTCTCTACAAAAGTACTTGATAATTGACCGATGTACTTTTACCTATATCTGTCTTACTCTAAAAGCCAAAGTAATTCCTCAGGTTCAACATTTGGGGGTCAATTGAGGATATTGCTAGGATATATTATACGGATTTACCGCATTTTTGCTGTAATTTTGTCAACACTATATTAATGCTAACAATTATGAATATTTTGTGTTTTCAATGAGGGAGAAATGCATGAAAAAAGTTTTGTTGATTTCTAAAATGCTGATAATTCACTTTTGTTTTTATATAGATAATCTTTTCTTCTGTCCAGGAAAACTGATTGATAAAATTCTAATCAAAATTTGTTATTATTTCACAATGAAACATTATGCATGCCTTATCCATAATACGGTTTATCAGTTGATGATAGAAGATCCATTTAATACTATCAAATTTATAAAATTCATTCATCTAGTCATTATTTAAAATGTATCGGTAAGTTCAACAATAACAGATGTACAAATAAATAAATTAAAGTAAACGGTTAAACAGTCAATCAAAATCATATCCTTTCTTTGGAAGCTAATGATACTTTTCCTATAACCGTAATGCGATAGCATGCATCATTTTCAAGATACATAATTCATTTTATATGTTTGAGTTATCATATAGCTTTTTAGCAAGAAAAGATAACTGATTAAAATATAAATTAATAATATCTTCTCTGGAAAAATAACGGTATTTTTTAGTTTATTTCATATTTTATTAAATTTGTTACTTTTCTATCACATCTAATTATGAATTATCAACAAATAAACTGATTCAAAAAAAGAAAATGAGATATCATTTAGGAATTTACCGTGCTTAC